GTGCACGTATGTTGACGCTTCTTATCAGACAATCTTATGCTGATTCTGTCGAAACCAGAATTTCCGCGAAGCAGCTCGGCACGTGGTCCGATGCGGTTGAATTCCCAGAGCTGAAAAATTTCGTTCTTTTAAGGACTGTCTGAGTATCAGGTTATCCTCCAAGAAACAATGTATATGTTACCTCAGGTACTTGTTAGTTGATTCTCGGAGGTTGACGCGAAGCTGACAAAATCAATTAGATTGTCTTCACCTTTCGCTTCCTGAAACTCCAATGAACCACTACCATCTCCTAGCCTATCATCACTCATCCTTATCAAGCAAAGCCTTTCATGCATTCAATGACACAGATGTCTCGTGTCCCAACAGGTTGTCCTATCTTGTGACCTGTGTTTTCCGGAATACGCAAACTATATGAGATAGAGGATATACGGAATAAGGTGTTGGATGGCACGGAGCCGTTCCCTGAGAACCAGCCGTCTCTCATGAGTGGTATTTCTGTCGAGTTCAGGTTGATTGATATTCGTTGCTTCATACATGCGTTTCTGATCTATGTATGCCAGGAATGTTTTCGTTTCAGTATCCTGGCGGAGACAGCTGTGCTCTGCGAAACGTATCGTTCAAGATCGGGGCTGGTCAACTTTGTGTAAGTTCCTCCAACTTTTGTGTGCTCTCTACCGCAATTGCAGGGTCGGTGTGGTGGTAAACGGCTCCTGGAAAGAGTACGATCTTGAAACTGATCTCGCGCATCTACGGACCCAACAGAGGGCACCATCCTCATCGACGACCGCGACATCAAAAACCCTCAGACTTGCTGAACCTCCGTGCTGCTATGTCCATCCTCTTCCAAGACTATTCGCAATTCCCCCTCTCCGTAAGCCATACTTATGCACCCTGAAAGCGACCGTATTTTAACGCACACGCAGATGCGCGAGAACATCGGACTTGGCAACCCCGCCCTTGCACATGACGATGACAAGGTTCGTGAAGGCCGCCCGTCTCGGCGGCGCAGAAGACTTCCTTGATGAGCTCCCTGACGGATTCGACACCCACCTCTACCGCCCCGTGCATGATTATCATGGGGACCTCCCTGAAGGTACCACGGCGCTCTTTGGGCAGCCCGTCGACTCCTCGCGTTGGGGTTTGATTGACGATGTCCATATTTTCCGGAGCTGTAGGCCTCCAAATCAGCCGTGGGCAGGTACAGCGGCTTGCAATGTTACGTGACCATGCCTTGACCTCTCAGGTATCGGTGTCGACCATTCAAATAGCTCACGCACATTCATGCGCTCATTGGTCTCCGAAACTGAGTCTTCCGCTGGCATGCTGTTATTCGACGACGCCGAGTGCCTCCCTGGATCCTACGGCTGAACATGGTACGCTGCCTTGTTTCTTCGAGATACCAATTTGGATGTAGTTATAATTGGTGGAAATAGATCTCTTCAAGCGTTTACGGAAGTTGAGGGGTAACAAGACCATGATATTCTCCCACTCACCGGTTTGGAAAATCTCACCCAACATGCGGACCTCATTTTGTGAGTCTGTGTCTTCTCAAACACCAATGTTCGCGGACGTGGTCACCGCAGGTTACCTCGATGAAACTGTCCGGGAAGGGAGGGACGCACGATGAACTTATGAAGAAAGGGGGAGAGTATGCTCGGATTTGGAACCTACAAGCTAAATCTTTCATTTTAACGACCAGACACCGGGACCACAACGATACCCCGTTTGTTTTTGTACCAACAGTCATCCTCACACATGCGCTCATGTGCAGTCGCGTAGGTGATGGTTATAACAGGTGATAATGATACAAATGGGAATCAGTTTGCTGCTGCCGTTACTGCTTCAGAATATTTGTACTATTGTTGGCAGTTGTGTGATATCACAATTTACCAGTGCATGTGTCAGCTTTTGCAGTGGTGCACAAGCTGCCGGCCTCGGACGTCGGCGATCTTGACACCACGATCATACGATGTAGATTGGCACCGTGCTCGTGCCCCGGCGCGATTTAATTGAGGCTGCTTGTTGCCACGCGGTTGAACCAGGTGTTGCAGCATCTACTCAGAGCAGTCATTGTTTTTCTTCTCAGCTTCTCCATAATGGATCTAGGTGACTGTTTCATTCCATCTCCACTAGTACTCCGTACCCTGGCCATCGGATCAGGAATTTGAGAGATGGTTGTGTAATGCAAACAGTTTATTCGTCTACGCTGCGATAAACTATCAATTTTATATCCGCTGGTCATGTGCCGCAGTAGAGGCTAGATCACTTACTCTGCGAGAGCTTGGTTGTCGTTACTGATATTGATCATCTTTGTAGGCAGATGCAACTTCAAAGAATCTATTCATGCACTACCGAATGTTGACGTAACATCGTCCATCTTTATCAACAGTTTTCGCTTGCAGCACTCCGAGATCACTTTCACGCGGATAAAGAGAACTTGGCTACGATGCTAGAAACATTTTCATCTGTCATCTTGAATCCACCCCTTAGAAATGTTGAGATTTATCACGCTTCGAAGCTCTGACTTCATGGAAGACTTTCGACGGTCGAAGCATTATTGCATAGGTCGTACACATGCTCACAAGTACCTTGCGCGGTGCTGCCTTAATCAACGATATGAAAAGGACCAATGACCTTCATCGACGATTACGCATTCGATAGATGGGACTATCATCTTTTGAAGGCCTAGCAGTGAACTTCGAAATCTCACTTTGACTCATTTATAGAGAAGACCTGCAACGTTTGGCGACACTCGCAGAACAATGCGGTACATTTTTCATCTCGTGAACCCTTGCGTAGCGCAAGAGTTTGGACTAAGACAGACTTGCTTATCTTCGGTGAGTGTTATGGTTATATTGGGTAAGCGGGGCACGCTAACCAAGGATCGACCAAAAATGGATCAGGAGGGTTGCATGGCGCATTACCGAAGCCTGGAAAAAAGTCAATGAAGGGCATAAAATGTTTAAAGTGAGGGCACCGACGTAACCTTGACAGGACCTCCGGTCTCCCGGCCTCTAAGACGGCACCCATAGAACCAGGTTCTTATTATGATAGCCCCCCTATCCTGATGAGTAGCCATGCACGCTGCATCTTTGTCACGGTGCGGTCCATCGCATCCCTTCGGCTTGATCCCACGTCTCTGCATCCCTCCTCCCTCAGGCTCGAGTCTCCTCCAGAGAAGATCGAGCACAGGCTAGTAAATGCACGACACTGAGCGCCCTGCAGTTGTTGAACCACCAATACTAGCTACCTTTTAGCAGTTCCAAATTCCGAGAATCCGAATGCACTGTGCTAGTAAATTCTGACTCTTGACTAATTATTCAGATACTACCCGCTGCAAAATGATGTCTAGCGCATCTGACCGTGACTCGATGTGGTTCTGTTACCTGTATCATCGATCGCCTAAGTTACATCATATACTTCATGCACAGTGTTTTCTTTTTTTTGGGACAAGCAAGTCTATTATATAGCCACTAGGACACGTTCTTATAGTGGTATCAGAATACCGGTCCGAGGAAAAATGCACTTACACAGTGTTTTCGCCGCGCCGAATTCTCAGTGACTCCGAGTCCGCTCGTTCCATCAATTGTGATGCCAACTATGGGATGTTCATCGTTCGAATTGACATATACTTACAGACTCATGACTAAAACTTAGCTTGACGGTCGACCAATTGTGCCTTACGTCCATCTTGAGTACTTGACAAGATAACGCCGACGATGCCGGCCCATTGCGTTAACAGTGCTAGTGCTGACACATGCGTCAGGACTCAGCATCGACTGTGGCGCAGCACCGCCGGCTTGACACCCACGGCGTGGAAGCTACGCATACCGCATGGCATGAGGTCCAAGACTCCATGTATTTATAACTTCCCGTCTTTCTGTCGTTGTCCTACTGTATTAATCTTTATCAACCGCCAAACCCGCATCGCCTAATCCGAGTCATTGCCAGTCGTTCCATCATGCCAGACGTCCATCTACTTGTCTTGATCCATGGAATGTGGGGTAATCCCTCTCACGTTGGTCATGCGAACAAAATTATCCGCGAGGGTAAAGGGCGAAGTTGAGGACGGTGACATTAAGCTTGAGGTTCTTCTCGCTGAAACCAATAAGGATGAATCCACATATGACGGAATCGACTGGGGAGGTGAAAGAGTGGCTGAAGAGGTATTTCTATTTATTATCGTCACCAAATCTGAGCATTCTCAGCGCGCATAAAACCAGATTCGACAGAAAACCGCAGACTTAGAGAAGGAAGGTCGGAAGGTAACTCGCTTCTCGGTCACCGGTTACAGTCTTGGTGGCCTGGTTGCCCGTTATGTTATTGGGTACGTGTGAGAGTCCCCGCTCTTGTGGATGATCTAACGAGCAAACCTAGTGTCCTTCACCAGTCAAAGTTTTCGAGACGGTGCAACCCGTGAATTTTAACACTTTAGCTACCCCACACATCGGCATACCCAGATTCCCTTCAACATTCTCTTCGATATCGGCATTTCTGGGACCAAAGCTTCTTTCCCGTTCGGGCGAGCAATTCTTCTGTGTCGACAAATGGTCACCACGAGGACGGCCACTCGTAGAGGTCCTTGCTGATCCTGATCGCATTTTTTATCAGGCATTGATATTGTTTCCTAATATTAGAATTTATGCCAATGCGTGAGCTCAAACATCTCGCATTTGTCTGCTATCCCTAACTATAACTCCAGCATCAATGACTCGACTGTACCGTACGTCACTTCTGGTATCAGCGCAGAAGACCCCTTTGGCGAGTACGAGAAGAATGGCATCAAAATGTAATTGCTTGGTTCATGTTACATGAGCTGATTCTGACCATATTCTAGTGATTTCCACGAGAAGTATAAGCATGTCATCAAATCTTATTCTGCCCTTCCTTTATCATCTGCAACCACGAGAGAGCCGGAAGGCTGGTTCGATACTATCCGTAACATGCGCGCGCCATTACCTCCGCGATTCCAAGCCGAGTTTCCTTTGAACTTGGTATGCAAATATCCTCTGAACTCACCGCCTCACTCATAGCAACGATATAGGCCGTTTATACCCTCTTACCAATCCTCTTCCCGACATTTATCTGCCTTGCTCTCATTCGCCTGTCATTTCAATCGCACCAGTCTCGTGGTCGAGTAAGACATCTTGAAGCGCAAACAACTAGAGAAAGACTTGTTCACATTATCGCCAAACTGGAGAGCGAGCTCGAAAGCGCTGCAGTTGATTTATACGATGACCCTGCTGGCACTCCCATCGCCACATCGCCGATACCTGGTGCTGACCCCGCTGACCCGACCAACCCCACCGAGCCTACGAAGGAAAAAGGAAAGAAATCGCGATCAAAGCCACCTCCATACCAACCTTTGTTGACACCCGGTCAACTTCAGAGCATAGAAAATCTCAACAAGATACCGCAGTTGAAGAAAGAGCGAGCCTTCTTTGAGGGTGTACGCAATTCTCATGCAATGATAATCTGTCGTGACCCCAAGATGTTCAAACATCATTTAGAAGGCGAGGGCGTGTTACGACACTGGGCGGATCACTTCGAACTATAGCTTTTATTGTGTTTTCGTTGTATTGGTTACTTACATGTAGAGCATTTACAGAGACAATACTACATATCGACCTAATATATTGACACTCGTGATCATGATGGTACGTCACGGCGGACTGTCATTCGGAGGCTTTTAATTTTGTAAATATTCTTTATCTCGACTCGATCAGGCTGTAGCTGGCTCTGTCCAATCTCAACAATAAGTCGTCGCATAGCGATCATGAAAGGCCTTTCAGATCGATCGCGTGCGATTTCTTCAACCTTTGTTTTGCACAGGTTTATAATCTACGCTCCTTCGATCGACTGTTCTCCAGGAATCTCGTTTGCCCAATATGCCCGCCATTCGACGCGGGAAGTACATACCTCGACGTCTCCACGACAGCGCACACACCGGAGGGGCGCTTGAAGCTGGATAAACTTGGCGCTAGTCGCAAACTTGCGCAACAGAATGGTGAGTGGCGTTTTTACTTTGACTCCGACATGGCGTGAACGTCCACGATATAGCTGTCTGTACCGCTTTGCTATTCATTTGCGATGAAAATCGCAATCTTGGTCCTGCAGATACCTTGAGCGTATCTTTCGAGGAGTTCAAGACTACAAGTTCGTCTGTTGATTTCTGATCCTTTTTCGCCCCGTCTCACTGTGATCCAGTGAAAAGTCGCGCGAGCGCTGCTGACTTGAAGTTAGGTCCTTGCCAGCATACTTACTTGCGGCGGGTGCTCTTATTCTTCGTAAGACGTCTCCCGATAGTGTAAGACTTCTATTAGTACTGAAGATGAACGTCCTCCTTTCACAGTGGGAGCATGGCCATATCGACTTGACCTTTGCCCACAATGGCCGTCAGCGGGATGTGGTCCAACAGATCGAAATTCAGCCCAGTTTCTACGACATGCAAGTACTTGTATATAATTAATCGAAGATATTCCTTCATGCTGTTGTCTTCTGCTCTCTCACAGTTATCGCGGCTTTCAGGAAGTCCTGGATGGATATGGAACATTATCGGCTCGAGAAAAATACCGTGCATATATGTCGCTTGCAACCAAAGTATTTGGAAAGGATCGAACACCGACTGTGCTCCAGGTAGGCGAGCATGTCATCCTCTGTGCTTTGTCCTGACGCCTATTACGAGAGGCAGCTAGATGTGCTTTCCAATATTCCAGAAAGTATCAGGATTTGGCATCCTCTTTATGTCGAGAAAGAGATGCCGCTGACAGTCAGGAAAACACTGTCGCGGACAACGAGATAAATGAAGGTGATTATTCGATGGACTCAATGTCAGTGAGCATTTTACATATTGTTGTTGTGTTATTGTGCATTGTATTTGTGGTATACAGGCAGTCCGAAGAATTCCATGACAATCGGGTTGTTCTTTTCACACCGTGAGTAGAATCCACAAAGACACCGCTAGTTCGTACGCTGTACTGAGATTTGATCGCAGTGCTCGCACGCTGAGTTATAGCCACAGTAAAGGAGACATTGGCCTCCCCACACCCGAGTCACTGCCTAGGCGACAAGTGATTGTATCACGGTCATCACCTACACCCACAGCATCATCCACCGAAGTCACGTCTTCTGGTAATGATGCTCATAGCCATTCTGATAGGCAGAACCCAACGCCTGGCTCGCGTTTCGGCCCCCTCTCTCTCGCCATTGGTTATTTTGCAGGGTTCGTTCGGGGTTTTAGATCGTCATCTCACATGTTCCTCCCAGAGGTAGGTGGTTCCGGTTCTCCATTATGTGGTAAAGTTTAATAACTGCCGCAGATTTCTTCACTACAAACACAAGTCACAGATCTGCAAACATCCCTAACTGCTGCAGAAGATGCACTTTATGCGGCAAACAGGACCACCCAAGTGTCACAAGAGCGATGCTTAGGCATCCTTCAAGATCTCCATAATGCTCGTGTCAACATCGCCGATTTAGAAAGTCGGGCCGCAATGGAGGCAATTGAAAAGGACAGCTTGCTACAGGAAGTTGGTCATCTCAAGGAAGAGGTATCACGCCTGCAGAGTGGTGTGGAACAAATAACCCAAATTGCACGCGGTGTAGGTTTTTCCATTGTTGTTCACTTGCCTGTACGCTTACCATTCCCGTTCGTAGTTGATCCCGCTGTAGTAACTTAATTTTCGGTTGCTTGGTCTAGCACACAAGTTTAACTTGACGAGAAAGTACATGTAAAGTTAACGACCTCATGATGTATACTACATAGCTCCAGGACAATGAATACTATGTTAATATCCAAGTGGCCAGTTCCGAATCATATTAGCTTAGCTTTGAGTTCTAGATTGGTCTATTTCAATGGATACACTGGATTAACGATTAAGCGTATTGTTAAAAGTAATACAACTAGAGTGCCGGTGAATACTATAATGCTACATGGAATAATGATATAATGTCCCGGATAGAAAAATGAGTGTGTGGGATGCAGAAGCCCGATCCCGCTACTGTCCGTGTGCGCCTGCGCCTGGTAGTTGTGACAACACATATGCCTCCTCTCGGAACTATTCATGCCAACATCACACTGCGGCGGCGAGAAGTGACAAGGATGAAATCCTTGGGAAGGAAAGAAGCACGTTGGTTTTTGCGAGTAACGCCGGTGACGCGCTTCCATGCGCGAACGACCTGGCGTTCAATCAATTTAGTGCACGAGATGCGTGTCTTTCTCCTATAAAACGATCGAGGCAAGAAAAGTTGAGTAAAAACTTTGAGGCGGCGTAGACCATCCTTACAACGGCTTTGATTCAGTGATCCAGGGGTCGGAAGTGAGGAATGCATGGCGGGGAACAGCGCGAGTAGTCATGTTTGGATGTCGCGACGAGTGTGAAATTGTGAATGTCAGGTTCGTCGAGAGGAGGTAATGAGGGGCTTCGAATGAAAATCGCGAGTAGGCGTATCACAAGCTGCCGCGAGGTAGAGCTTTGTTATACTGATTCAGTAATGATAGATAGCGCGGAGTGAAATGCGAGGGGTCGAAGCATTCATGCATCATGGCCAAGGTAAGGTTCTTATACTATCACCCGCGGACAATTTCCACAGCAATTTCAAGTGTTATACACGGAAACAAAAGATGCGCATTGTCTTGGTATCCAGACTGATTGCTGGCACCACGAAAATATTAATTGTAGTAGGTTCGAAACAAAAGCGTCGACAACAACAGTTGCCTTATTTGGACGGAGCTCATTGTTTACTGCAACTGTTTGTTTAATGCTACCATCACAGCAGGGACCACGCATGTCATTTCCACGCTTAGGCACGCTTAGCCTGCTAGGTTCGTTCATGTTGGTTGCACGATCGATGTCAATCATCCCCTACTCACAAATGAAATGACAATAGCAACCAATGTCCCTTTCACTCTGTCCATTTCAAATTCATGCCGCCGGTCTGGACGTACCGGAGCTGCTTTCAAGATCCACCGAGGATGAACGCGGACGACCGGCTTTAACACCTCGAACTGGTGTCGGGGCTGGACCCTATGTCATCAGTCGCATCATCCTTACGATACCACCGGCTCCATCAGATCACACGTTTTTTTTCTTGTTATAGTCCAGTTCGATGTGGAGCTGCTTGTGTTTTGAGTTCCAGATTCTCCGTCTTGCAATGCACAGAAGGTAGATGTTAGATGTTCCTGCCTAGTGAGTGTGGAAGATCATTAGTGTCCAACCCGAATATAGCTTTAGGCTATCCTTGACCAATGTTTTCCATCGTAAAGGGCGGCACACAGTTTTCTTATCTGCAGCCACCTGCCAGGGCCCGATCGTTTTTGATGGGGTGACGCACGGCCATGCCTTGAAGGCAACTGCTATAAAGGCCGCCTAGCCCCTAAGGAAGGATGAGTCGGATCAAGATCATTTACAGCTAACTGGTTGTTCCAGTTCCTATGTGAAATCAGACAGTTGTACAGAAGGTTTCTCATTTGCAAAGCAGCTCGGACATTTGATGGTTCACAGTCCTCCTGCTTTGATGGCTTCAAGCTTTATGCATATGGAAGGTTTCTGGAGCGTACGTTCGTGAGTTGACATAGGTAAGCTGCGACGGCTTGTCGTACCGGCAGCCCTAAATTGGTCACTTTGTGTAGTAGAATCCCCCTATGTAGTGCAATTTGACAATGACAACCCACTGGTTTTGTGCGTGATACTGGATTCAACTTGTTATCTCAGTCGCATCTGTCGACCTAGTGATCTTCGACAGATAGTGACTATATGATGACCACTGATCTCAAGATGCCGTTCCTGGTTCGGATTCACATTACGGCCAGTAAGACGCAATATGTAACGTTTTTTGGCGCTGCCTTGTTGTTTCCGCGCGGCCGCAATTAATTGACGCTTAAGTCGACGGCCGTGAGTGCTGTTTAACGGGAGGCAGCGCTGTAGCCAGATTGTGGTTGGACCACGGCCTTTAAGTCGTCTTAGTACTAGTAGGTCCCTGCACTAACTCTCCCCCTTTTTATATCGACTGTTCATTCGCAGTAGTTCAATACCAAAGGATCCTCCCGCAGTGTACTTCAAGCTCACTGTTCGGCACTCATACTACTCGCTCTGCTTGTCATTCATCGAGGACCACTCGTTCAAGGACGCTCTCCTGATAAAGATACCGGGATTGTAATTATCATGCCATCAGATACTCAATCTGCAGCTTACAAGAAGGCTGCTGCGTCCGCACCTTCGAAGGATTCATTATTGAAGACGCCACATGCCACTGACCGGCAGGTCCCACCACGCGTTCATCCCTCTATTTCTTCCAAAGATAATGTAGGCAGTGCCAGTCGATCTATATCTTCATCATCTCCGGCACTCGACAAGCGCGAAGCATCTGCTGGCACATCCACACTCCTTCCGCCAAATCAATCCAGGCGCAGCAGTCTCCAGTGTCGCTCTCAATCTAAAGACCACACTTCTTTTGTGGGGTCTGCCGCTGATATCAAACATGTCAAGGAGAGTTTCTTTGGCAGCTTATTTCGCAAGCTCCTCTCATGTGTTGGCCTCAATTCCCGAGCTCATGACATTGACGTCGATGGTGTAGCAAGCTTTGGGTCAGGTCCTACTCTGCTGACTCACAAGACCGCGGATAAGGAATTTTCTGAAAAAACACCAGGAACAAGCAGCCTCGCACTCGTAGTTCCGGTGGCACCCTTACAGGAGAAAGGACAACCTGCTGTGCCTCCTAAGGATGTGCTACCTATCGCAGATACTGCGGGCGCCACCAGTGGGGCTGTGCAGCCGCCAGGTTCTTCCGTTCCTGGTCAGGTATTGAAAACCTCTTCGCGTCGCCCATCCGAACATGCTACCGAGTTTGACGACGTTCCGTTTGATGAGATAAGCGAGGAAGACGAAATGTTAATCAGGAATGGGGGTGCAGGCATTCCCATTGGCCCTGTGAGTTGATCCGTGGTTTAATGGATTTATTTCTGACTCGGAGTTTACAGGACGGAAAGCCATGTCCACTTTTGCCGCCAATCGCACCTGAACATGCTGGCAAGAAGTGTTTAGTGCTTGACCTGGACGAGACCCTCGTCCATAGTAATTTCAGGGTATATCTTACACTCCGATTGTAGGCCTGCTTTTGACTTGCCTCGCTGTCAGCCCGTATCAGATCCAGACTTCATCGTTCCTGTCGAAATCGAGAATCGCTGGCACAATATGTACGTACAGAAGCGCCCAGGAGTGGACGAGTTTCTTCGGCAGATGGGTGAGGTATACGAAGTGGTAGTGTACACCGCAAGTCTGGGTTCCGTGCGTTTATTGCAGGTGGCTGGGTGTAAAATTCAACTGATCTTTCTCTTCCTTGTTTCGTCGAATTTAGTATGCAGATCCAGTGTTGGACCATCTTGATATCTACAATGCCGTTTCGCATAGGCTCTTCCGGGAAAGTTGTTTCCGGTATAGAGAAAACTACGTGAAGGTTCGTTTGCTCCCTGCAGATAAGATTCCGTATCTGATCATCCTTGTTTTTAGGACCTGTCGCAGCTTGGACGTCCCATGGCAGATACCATCATCATCGACAATTCGCCTGCGTCATATATCTTCCACCCCACAAATGCCGTGCCTATATCCTCATGGTTTAACGATCCTCACGATACCGAACTGATAGACATCTGTCCCCTCCTTGCAGATCTTAGTGACACGAAAGATGTGCGAAGCGCGTTGAACACGATTTTGTGACACCTGGTTTATTTATTGTAGACTTCAGGTGTGCTGGTAGTATTTATGGGGCACTGGTGTTCAAACGTTTATGACTTCATGACAAGACATGACATGTATGAATATATGTGGACTTACAGAGTTGAAAATATGTTGTCATATATAGCAATTACGAGAAATAACATCGATGACACCCCACTGCTATACTGAAAATATTGCGTACCGAATGTGCACAGTACCTACACATGTTTGTCGGTGTTCAAAGCGAGCATAATTCGCGTGGGAGGTATCATAGGGACAGTTGTGCGAGAGTCAAGAAAAGGATAAGTCCTAGCTACTGGACGGCTGAATCGTACCATTTATTTCACCTACTCCACGTACGTTTCTCCGTAGTGGTAGTCTCCATCACCGTAGAAACCATAATCGTCGTCATCATCATCTTCGAATGAGTCATAGTCATATTCGAGGCCGTAATCGTTGAGATTCTCGTATTCATCCCAGTGAATGTCGGCTACCACTTCTCGCAACAACCGCACGTCATGGGCACTGATGCCCATGCATCCAGTGATCGAAAGGTGGTCTAGTCCCCGACCTTCGTTGACACGATCGACGAGCACGTCAAAGAGGTCAGAGGTCCTAGTAAAGGACGAGAAGGAGAGGTCGAACTCCATTTTGTCAAGGACAAGATGGGAGAGTGCTGGGGCAAAATTTTGTCCGTTTCGTGAACACCCGCCAATAAACCGCGCTAAACTGTGCTTCTGTGAACGCAAGGATATGAGAAGATCTTCAAGAGCCTGAGGTGTTCCTCGTAAGTGAATGTATGTAAGATTGCGAGCAGCACCGCGGCCAAGAAGATCAGTCCAGAAACCATTCCAGCAAGCGAAGAAACCTTCGATGTAGAAGGCCTCGAGATTCCTAATAGGGACGAGCCGCCACAAGTCGCTAAGGATTGCTGTACTTGTTTCAGCGGGAAAGTCAAAGTCAAGAACAACAGGGCGTTCCACCGCCCACTCCGGATCCAGACAAGTATCAGTCATTGACCCCACCCATGAAGCAGGGTTTCGGACCGTGCTATATTGCACATGAATGCGACCAACACCAAACAGTCGCAAGGAACGCGGGACTCGGTGAGATTTAGCTGGAGTGGCTTTGAAGCAACTTTCCAAGGCACGAGAGATGATGGGGAGGCTCAAATTCCATTCTTGATTCGGATTCATAGATGAAGATGCTCTGCATCCGAGTTGAACTTCCAACATTGTTGAATCAGGTAACTCGATGCGAGTCAATACATTAGCCACTTCCAAAACCTTCGCCACCAAACGTAACCGCTTCAAGTGGGGAAGTCGAACATTCATGGCATGAGGTGCGCGAAGGAGTGGCGTCGTTTGGGGGGGAAGAGTCGGGAGAGCATCTTCTAACTCGAGAGTGTGCAGAGCAGGAATACGACGGAGTGCAGAGATCAACTCGTCTAAAGTCGGAAGGCATTCCGGTGATAACTTTTTGACATCAAGGACAGTGAGTCCTGTGAGGACGGTTGATGTCCATGATAGATCACAGTATTTGATTTTGAGGCTGCGAAGGTTGGGCGCGAGAAAAGAAGTCGGGATTACTATCCGTAGTGTTTGCGCATATTCTTCTTCCAGAGAAAGCGATTGTAGCTTGGGAGCGGAACAAGTTGATAACTTGTTAAGGAATTCCATAATACAGCGATACATCACACCACCATTCAAGAATGGGAGAGAGACCTCTCGCAAACGCTCTATGTGCGTCAACACCTTTTGGACGGACTCTGTACGATATCGCAGACCGCTTCTCAAGTTTAAGGGAGCCATTTTGGATCTTATGAGCATCTCCTCCGTGGCCTGTGAGGAATTTAGAAACGGAGTAGCCCATAACTCCGGTGTCCCGAGAGCAACCTCGCGCCAGTGGCGACAAATATGCCCGACGTTAAGCCATGAAAGAACCGCGGGGTTATCAGGAACATGAAGTAACTGCATCTCCTGAACATGATGGACGAAAATGGCGCCAAGGATCTCTGGAGGGATGGAGGATATGGGAGAGAGGCTGTTTCGGCGCGTCCGAAGAAATCGCATTCTCTCTTTAAGTGCCGCGAGTTCATCGTCAATCTCTGTTTGAGCTCTCGAGCTTAGAGCAGGAGCGTGTGCGGTTACCATTAGTTCGCAGGTGAATGAATCTGCAGTAAGTAGACTCCGCGACTTGGAGAACAACAAACAACATCAATTGATACGTTTGAAGCTTCAAATTGGCACGTACTGCTAGAATAAGGGATCACGACAAGATCACGGGAGGAAGATAAAGCTTGTTCTTGAAATCTTGATAGCAAGCAAGTACTATACAGTATATTAAATTATACAAGTCTAATTGGTCGATACTTTCGAGTGCAGGCTTATTACCTCAGGGTCCCTTGCCGCTCTCGGCATGACGCACGTGCTGAGCAATATTATCTTTGCCTTACAGGGAGGGCTTTTAGGAGGTCTTCGCGTCTTCGCGTCAGCTAGTGCGATATTCATTTTCGAAGCTCGTCTCCGGAAAATTTCTTTCGCTGGCCCTCGCGGCCTGCGCTTCTACGAGACCAATTAGAATAAATTAGATACTTAGCGAGAGAAATAATTCGAAATCATGAATGTATAAGTCTCAAATTATTGCTCAAATTTTAAATTCCAAAGGACTACTATTCGTCAGACAACGTATTGCAGAATTGATCATTACAAGCGTAGCTACCCACACAATGCACCCAGCGTAATTGGAATTCCGGCCTTTATTCGAGCATAGTTGCCCGACAGAATCATATCAGGAGGAGTATCCGTGGTCACTGTAGAAACTGCAATCAAAGGCATCATCATAATCACTGTCATAGTCATGGTCATAGTCATAGTCATGATCGGAATCTTCGTCGGAACTTTCGTATTCATCCCAGCTCACATCGGCTACCACCTCTTGCAACAACTTCACGTCGCGGGCGAGTATACCCGTGGTTAAAATAAACTCAAGGTGGTCTAACCCCCGACCTTCATTGACGCGATCAATGAGCACGTCAAGGAGGTCAGACGGCCGCATCCAGTTCGAGATGGGGGAGCCGAATTCCAGACCGCGAATGACAAGATGGGAGAGTACTGGGGCAAAAATGGGTCCCTGTTGCGAACACCTGCCTACGCGCCGCGATACACTGTGCTTCTGTGAACGCAGTGATTTAAGCAGTTCTTCAAGAGCCTGGCGTGGTCCTTGTATGTCCATGTATGCAAGATTACGAGTAGCGCCGCGGCCAAGAAGATCAGTCCAGAAACCATCCCAACAAGGGCAGAAAAAGTGGAAGTACATGGCCTCGATACTCCCAAAGGGAACAACCTTTTGCAAGTCACTAAGGATTGACCTCCTCATGTCATCCGGAAAGTCAAATGCGAGAGTGACAGAGCTTTCCGCCAACAAATCCAGATCCAGACAAGCCCCAGACTTTGACCCCGCCCATGAAGAAGGGTTCCGGACCGTACTAGAGTGCAAACGAATGCAACTACTAGTGCTAGATAGTTGCATGGAACGCGGGACTTGTCGAGACTTATCTGGACTGGCTTTGAAGCAACTTTGCAAGGCGCGAGATATGATGGGGAGGCTCAAATTCCATTGATGATTCGGATTTCCTGAAAATCCCTCGCATACAAGTCGAACTTCCGTTATCGATTGCTGTAATTCAATGCGAGCTAGCACGTTGGCCACTTCCAACATCTTCGCTGCTAAACATAACTGTTTCAAGTGGGGAAGTCGAACATTCATGACGCGAGGTGCGCGAGGGAGTGACGTCGTTTGGGGGGGAAGAGTCGGGAGAGCATCTTCTAGCTCGAGAGTGTGCAGAGCAGGCATACGACGGAGCGCAGAGATCAACTCGTCTAAAGTCGGAAGAGATTCCGGTGACAATTTTTTGATAGTAAGGACTGTGAGTCCTGTGAGGACTGATGATGCCCATGATAGATCACAATGCTTGATTTGGAGACTGCGAAGGTTGGGGGCGGGGAAAGAGGTCGGAATTGCTATCCGTGGTGTTTTTTTAAACCCTACTTCAAAAGAAAGCGATTGCAGTTTGGGAGCAGAACAAGATGATAATTTGTCAAGGAATTCCACTATGCAGCGGTGCGTCGTGCCATTATCGAAGACGTGACTGAAAAACGGGAAAGAGACCTCTTGCAAACGCTCTGTGTGCATCAACGTCTTTTGGACGCAGTCCATACGATATTGCCGACCAGTTCTCAATTTCAAGGGAGCCATTTTAGACCTCAAGAGCATCTCCTCCGTGGCTTGTGACGAAACCAGAAACGGAGTAGCCCATAACTCCGGTGTCCCAAGAGTAACCTCGCGCCAGTGGCGACAAACATGTCCGATATTGAGCCACGAAAGAACAGCAGGAGCATCAGGAGCATGAAGCAACTGTGTCTGTTGAACATGATGGACGAAAATGGCGCCAAGGATCTCTGGAGGGACGGAGGATATGGGAGAGAGACTGTTTCGGCGCGTCCGAAGAGATCGCATTCTCTCTTTAAGTGCCGCGAGTTCATCGTCAATTTCAGTTTGAGCTTTCGATGTTTGGGCAGGAATATCTGCGGTTATCATGATATCGCGGGTGAGTGATTCTGAAGTGGACATCAGTTTTGAAACATTTGAAGTCTTCAAAGCTTTCAACTAGCACGTACTGGAACATTCGGTTGCGGCTTCTAGACAGAGAAAAGTCATATCGCAGGCGATTGATTCTGAAGTGGACCTCAGTTTTGTAAGGTTTCGAGGTTTCAACCGCCGGGCACGTACTGCTAGAATATGACAGTGCTGAATCACCACTGGTAGGCGGTTGGTCAGTTAAAATGGAACAACTTATTTATAGGACTCAGAGATGGGTATCAATATGGGTATTGAAAAAAAAAACAAGGTCTGGCTAGCGCCCTAGGGGAGTGGGGTAACTCAATTTATATTACATAACAACTAGATTTTTACAACAGTGAAACAGACACCGCAGACGAAATTGAAAACCGCATTGACTTGCCTATTACACCTTATCCTTCGACCAGTAACAAAGTCTTGACCATGTCCATTGGGTGCCGAGAAGTGTAAGTGTACAGGAAGATTGAAAACCAATTCCAAGCAAACAACGTGACTAGAGCCCCTGAACACCGTTACTCTTCGTTCTTTGGTTCCACAAACATACCAGCGCCATAATACCTTGCCTCGCCACTGATCTCTGCCTCATTACAAAGGTGCACTCCGGTCGGCAACGAAAGCTGCAGAATCGCAGAGGCCTGTGGAAGATGAAACGAAGCGTTCTTGAAAACTCCGCCTCGCCGTCCTTTAGCATGAGAAGGTTCCTCCTCATTCTCCTCAGACGATTTATATTTGTGTGCAAAGAACAGCTCCTGGCTGTCACAATCGTGGCCATCTTCAATAGCGCGGATAAGAACAGGATGGAGGACAACGTTGAAATGATTCTCGAGAACATCGAACAGTGTCGAGTCAGTTCCCTTGAGGTATTCCTTCTTAACGCTTGCCTTGCGGTAGAGGTGAGTAAGTGGGAAAGCGACGACAGTGGTGCCTTCTTCGTGCAATTCTCTGATTTCATCAACGACAGCTTGCACCAGCTTCTGGTCCAAGTTGGGGTAAGTGTTGATGTGGGATGCGATGTGTTGGTGACGATGAACAGCTTTTTTCAAGGGAGTGTAACTAGGCGGGGGAACCCATTCTCAAGGCGGTTGCTCGACGACTTCGACGTCATACTGGAGCACCAGTCGTGTCCTTGGTCACGGGCATGACTTTGTGCTCTGTGTCCGTGTAGAATGCAACCACAACTGGCCGGAGCTTGTCGACGGACTTTGTTGGATGCATGTTGACAATTGTCTCAACGCCCTGATGCCTCAACATAAGCTCTTCTCCCTCTCATTCCGTATTAAGTACGACGAGCACCGTTCCATGATGAGCATCGCTATGTGTCGAGTCACGATGCCAGTCAAAATGACCTCCTTCGCCATATATGGCGAGCTTGTATAACTTGAGAGTAACGCTTTTCCCTACGAACATGCTTGTCCGGAGTTCATCCTGGATGTAGTCCACGAATAGTTCATATTGTGATGTCTCATCCCCTTGCAAACTGAAGGCGAGCTCATCCGCTTTGAGCTCTGTTCCGCGCCTGTAAGTTGGATCCATGACAGTTTCCTCTCCCCTGCCGAATGGCGAAGGTGTTGCATGCCTTTGCAACACTCCAACGACAGGTTTCATCCATGCCCCTGCGTCCTCTCCCTTGACGGGCAGCTTAAATGGGGCCGTTTCTACCCGACTCTTGAAGGACACGAACGGACTGCCAGCAAGGTTGTCGAGTGCATTTGTGAGCTTGGTCTCTCTCTGTACCTCATATGCTGTAGAGCTGGAAAAAGAATCGAGTATGTCCTTTGATGCGCTCGAAGACGGAGAGCTCGTGCTCTGACTCTGAGTTCGAGGAAATTGATGAGGTGTCTGAGTACATTTTCGCCGATGTGTTTATCGATGGAAGAAACTTTTGGGGCGAGTGGCGAAGGTTTAAATCGCACGCTCCCTAGGCCTGAATATTACATACAAGCGGTGACCTTCGATCGCTGCTTTTTATTGGCATACTCACTACAAAAGCAGACATGTTTGTACACAATATTATCTTTCTCCCCATTTGCTCCCGAAGAGAAGCACAGTGTATCTCGACGGCTTTTGACGCGGGACAATGCGGCAGTGTATAGTTGACAATGAGCAAAAGGATCAGTTCTGAGATCCAGAACTGTGCGAGAGCGTGAAACCTTGGCAGCCATTGAAAGTAGTCGCGTAGGCTAGTCTCAAAGGAAACTTTTTGCAAGTGATACGTGGAATACAGTGGTGTTCGAGATTGTTGAGCGGTTGGACTTCGACGAATCGACGATGTAGAGCTGTTTATATCTGTACAGAGTGATGTAGCCGTCGTATTTCCAGCAGTTTTTATTGTCGTATTGATACCTAGATTTATTTTGAATACTTGGCAATCCATAAAACAGGTGGTCGCCATATAGTGCTGGAAAAAGCAAAAATGAGAAGGTGGCAAGAGGATCAGCACCGTGACTGCACAGCATGACGGGATGGCCAGATACAATTGGCGCCGAGCCGCCAGTTATTCGCGCTAATATATGTTAGAAATTACATAAATAGATGCAAACAGAGAGAGAAAGTCATCAAATTGAACAAATTCGAGTCTGTTGCTCAAATTCAATTGCTTTCTGAACGATTACAAGGTGTGTCTAGGCGATAACTCAGTAATACTATCGAGCACGCCTCCAGTGCCCTCATGAGCATAACTACATATACGACCATAATGTAGGCTTCTAGTGGTCCATTTCCATGTGCGTGGTAATGAAATAAAAGCATCAATAATGTTACAAGAGAAAGGAGTGCCAACAGTTCATTCCGCAGAAATGGTCTCGAGCGTTTTACTCCACTCAACGACCTTGGGATGTGCTTGTACCTAAAGGGGGGGTGAGCACTGTCGTACAGAGAGAATGAATTCCTCTCGCCTTCTTTGGATCGAAATTCAGAACTTGCAGACCCTCCAATGATGTTGCTCGAGATAGTGCGACATATGCTTGTCCTGAACGGGAAAGCTTCAAGTGTGAGAACATGAATTGGCTACCAGAACGAACCCTTTTCGAACACTCTGCCAAGGTCTACCTTGACTCTCTCGAGTGTCTGCCCTTGCGATTTGTGGATGGACATGGCCCAAGCTAATATCAAGGGTAGCTACCACCAAGGGTCAGGTGCGCGGGCATAACCAGATAATCAAACGCCACACCTGAATCCTCGACACTTGTACTTCTCCGCTAGGCAACTCAACTTTCCAAGTTTCATTCACAATTAGAACTTCCCTGCGCCCTCTGTTCGGCACCGAAAATTCGACGACCGGCATGAACATGTCTTTCGTCGTCGCGGTTTTCTTCCTTTCTGACTTCGGCTTTCCTGCATTCCCGCTACCATCAACATCATCATAGTCAGTCCCGTACAACGCTGGGTCAACAAAACGCAAAATTTTGCCCATGCTGCCATTAACGAGCATGTCATCCATATTTTTGATCAACATGACCTGGGCACCAACACGAAGTACAAGTTTCTTCGGCGCCATGAAGTTCGCAAGCATCTTCTCTCGCTGGGTTTGATCAGCGATCGTCCCGCCGTCCGTAGCAAGGTAATCTTTTTGCTCAGTTTGAAGATGAGACATGCGGCCATTGTTGGATCTTTCCACGTCCTCTCGACGAGGGAAGCTGCATTGAATCAATTAATACAGCCGTCAAATTGAACAGAGGACTGACAGCTCGGTTGCTCCCAGACCGTCGTCGTCGTTAATGGGTCGTGACAAAGACTTGAACCGGGCAATAGATTCTTGTGAAAGCCGCCCGAAACGCATTTCGTTGAGCATGTCAACAAATTCTGAAGGATGTTCAGCATACAAGCAGTTTTACTGATCTCCTCTTCCTTACGCTGATCCTTTTGCCTGAAAACTTTGTTCAGATTGAATGTACGCTTGATGGTCTGGTTCCAGAGCTGAGCTTCAAAAGCAAATTTGACCTGACTAGCACCCTTCCCGACGGGGGGTAGTTGGAAGAAATCGCCAGTGACCACAACCTAACAATCGATTTTAGTGGTGTTGAATGAAACGAACTGCAGGGCAAACCTGAATTCCTCCAAAGGGTCCTGGGGACTTCCGTATCAAACTGCCAATTTGTGCAAGTTTGTCGAAGAGATCTCCGTCCAACATTGAAACTAATAGCATGATACATGTGATGTGGAAATCTGCACTTGCTAAACCACCGTACCTTCATCGATAATGAGGACCTTTGTCCGTAACCACCTCGAAGCAGCTTTCTTGTTCTTACGGACTCTGTTGATGAGCTCTTCCGCTGAGCCTTCTCCGATGCCAATGCCTGCAAATGAATGAATCGTGACACCACCGATGTTACACGCCGCAATGCCTAGCCATATGATGTCAGAGGACATCAAATAGTGAGTATATGCTTCCTCACCCGTTGATGCAGTAATGGCAATAGCATCGGGAGATTTGACGTATTTCTTTTGCAATATGCGAATGATTTCTCGGAGTAAGACCGATTTTCCAGTACCTTATCGGCATATATTTAGGCAAAATCACAAAAGGAGAATTTATTTACTACGTACCAGCACTACCAGTGTAAAACACGCTATTTCCGCTTTCCACAAGACGAAGGATCTGTGTCTGTTCCTGACTAAGGAACACTCCAGCAAGCTTGGAGCTAGGCTTTGATGACGAGGCAGCGACCGTCAATGACTTAGACTTTACTGATGGCAAAGAAAATTTGCTCGAAGACATGAAGTTGGATGAGGAGGATAGGATGTCCTCATTCCAGCTGGGCGGAAGCTGACGTTTCTTTGCTGGCGGCGAATTTGGAGCAGCTGGGAGGGGTCGTTTGGTCCCGTTCGCTATCTGTTTCGTGCTCATTTCTGGCCGCTCTCCAGGCGGTTGCTTCCCTGTGAGCGCATCAAGCGCAAGTTGGATATCTTTCATACGTTGTGATTGAATTTCAGCCTTAGGTGCCTTTGAAGGCTGAGATTGGCTGGGCTGGGTGGCCGGCCATGAAATACGGTCTTCACATTGAGAACTGCTTTGCGACCAGTCGCGTTTGACTGTGCGCAACCCAGAAAGTGCTGATTGGCCTCCATTGGACATGTTGGCCATTAAACTTGTGCAGTGCGGAGAACTCGGAACTACGACAAAGGCTGGAGATTGGTAGGAGTGTCGTCAGATCTTGCTGAACAAGATTAGGACGCTGAAAACAAGCCGTGCGCGAAGTTAAGTGATTGTCCAAGAAAGTTAGGAAGTGCGTTAAACGAACGACGCGTCTGGTCCTCAGCAAAACGCGAATCAAGCGCCGTCCACGTGACTAATGCACAATCACGGGGAACGCACGTATTATGTAAACTTGTGTTCATTTGCGACGCTCGAGTCGCTGGGCGATGTATCGCAGCACTGATGCTTCATTTGGTACTCGGAACTGAACGTTCGAACGATTATCAGAAATAGTTTATTCGACTGATGCGACCTGGATCCATCTGCTACATCCACAAGTATGATAAACTAGCAACACAAAATCCTTTGAAGAGGTATGTAAGGCAGAATATAACCGTGTCAGATTTCCTGAAAAATGGAACCTGCAATTCTCAACTGCCTATCTCGACGTTGATTAGACGTAGAGACGACCATTTGTCTGGGCACTTCACCAGAACCGGTACAGGGTGGATGCATTGAGCACTGTCCGGGCAGAAAGAGGCCATAATGATATGTATAAGGAGAGAAAGGAAAATTTGCTTTTTTATAATATTCGACATTTCTACCAAACATAGCCAAATACTTGTTTCAGTGCATGATATTGATTACGCCACAAAACCAATGATGGGAATCGCTTGTGCTGCTTCCACAGCTCAGAGCTATAATGAGCAAGTTGAAGGCGGTCGTCGAGCTTCTGCAAAGCTCTAAAGTCAAGGAACGACAAGAAGGAATAATTTCTCTCAAAGAAGCTTTCTCACGCGATGATGCTGTCCTCAATCTTGGGGAGGGACGCGCTTGGCTTGTCGTGTATCAGGCCCTCTTCACAGCAGTTACCAGTGAAAGAGCAGAATGCGACAAGAAAGCCACGTCAGGCAAGAATTCATCGACAGGTGCCGCTGCCTTGCGCAGACTTGGAGATGCCACCACCACCGTTCGTTGGCTAGTAGAGAGAAGCAACAGCAGGCTCACTGGCAGAGTCGTGAAATCCATCCTGACACATCTCTTACAGATGATGGTTTTCCATGGACAGCTGTACGCTCCGCTCGCTCTTGACTACCTCAAGACCCTCAAGATACTTCTCGGCTGGACGCCACACATGGACCGCATCGAGGCGGCCAGATGGATCAGCATAGCTGAATTGGCTTTCAACATCATTTTAGACGATCCGATAAAGAGAAAGTTCAACGATGTTACCGGAGAGAGTAATGATGAGAGCATGCAGGTCGACCTTTCCGCCATGTACCAAGATGACTCTGACGAAGGTGATGATCACGAGCCCTCTACATCAACACAAAAGCGCAAGCGCAAGGCAAGGGAACACAGCTCCACGCCTACCCCCGGTACTATACGTCCTACAAGGTTGCTCAAGGCCCCTGCACATCATTCGGTTTCCTTGGAGCAGGTCGAATGCGCTTCCCTACTTGCCCTTCTGTTCCGGTCTCCTGCAGCTCCCTTCCTCTCGGAGGATGTGCCAAACCTATCGTCTGCTATCCTGGCCCGCATGACACGATTCTTAGAACGCTACCACGGTGACGCATCCCTTCACCACGACTACCTTCTTGCCCTGCAGCCAGTACTGTCTCATCTTTGCCTGAATCGAATAAAGGACGTTAAAAATTTTGCTCATTCAACATGGAATCAACTGGTAGGACTGTGGGGTACCAAGAACAAACGCCTGAAGGAAAGTCTGGTTGGCATTTTAAGAACGTTATTCCCGTTCTTAACAGCTGCACATGACGACCTTCCTAAATACGCTTGGGCTGACGGAGTGTACAAACTTTGGACCCTTTTGAGCGGTGAGGCTGAGAGTCGATGGGGTCTTGATAGTCTCTCTCTCGACTCCTTGAGGCTCGAGGTACTTCCCTCCAACACCGAAAACTACGGACGTGGGGTGTTTGTCGCTCGCACATTCAGGGCCGGATGGCATTTTGAATCTTCTCAAGCCCTTGCGTGGGCTTTAATGGAGCTACAAGCTGACTGTGCGGAGAAGGTGAGTCCTCATCCATTAATTGCTTTATGCAAACTGACCGGTGTAATACAGCTCTTCGATCACTCCGAGTGGAAGCATGCTGATACTTCGGACGGTGAAGGAAACCTAGGAAAGCGTGCCAAGCGTGAAAACCCTATAGTATCTCTTATTCATTCCATACAGTCGACAACCACTTCCGGCGTTCGGACGTATCATCTCCAAGTTCTCCTATTCTTCATTGATCGGCACTGGTCGTGCCTGCACAAGCATAATAAACTCCAAGAGAATGTAATGAACACCCTGCTGCAATTTGTCTCCGTCGATGATCCCATCATCCAATCCTGGACTTTCCTATGCTTCGCCGCAATTGCACAGTCAGATGGCCTTCTGAGTTCACGCGCAACCCAGTCACCATCAGTTGCACGGACCGCAGTTGTCGTCCGTGACTCCGCTGTATGGGATCCTGTGTGGACTCATGCCATGCGCAGAGCCAATGTGCCTGTGGTTTGCAGGGCAGCATGTCATACCGCATACACACTTATTCTCCACTCCAAGTTTCTATTAACATCTCAGCGAGTTCTGATCGAAATCGAGACCTTAGCGAAGGATCTGGATCTGCAGGGCCCTGCATTTCCATATGATTCTGTGTGTATGTTCCTGGCGCAATGTTTGCATGTCGCAAGCCAAGATGTGAGGCTGTACAGGATGCAGTTGGAGGAGAAGGTTCTTAGCTGGCTTCTTGATAATTGGAGAATTGGTGCTGGACAGGCGGTGAAGGATACTAGTGGGAAATCCCGGATGCCACTTCACACCATCGGTGACATTCTTGGGTTGCTAGAGAGCATATGTGGAACGTCGAAGCGAAGCGATCTTCTTTGCCGCACGTTACTTCCCGATTGTGCGATCGCGGAGCTCATGGAAGAAGAGCGGAAGACCAAGGTCATCCGCGATTTCCTACTGGATGCTCAACTTCCTTCCTTCCGCAAGGACGCCGTATCTGCAAGCTGCGACGAACCTACACACAGCTCTGTTAATGGCGAATTGACTATCGACTCTGAGATCGTTCAGCCTCGAGGGCGTGAGCGTCGAGTGACTTCGTCTTTGCTCAAAGCGATGGAATCTCTCACTGTCGAGTGGGACATGTTCAAGGAAACCAACGTCCACCCCACTGCCGAAAAGCTCCGTCAATCACTCGATGCTGTTGTGACCGCCTTTGCGTTCGAGACCCTGCTTGTATGGAACGGAATGCGGTGTAATCGACGCGTTCTGCAATCTGCCGGTCGAGTAATATCACTTCTTGCACCATTCCTAACAGATGCACGCTGGACAGCAGATGAACGCGTGCTGATATTACACGGCCTGGAGCCTCTGGTGATGAATGGAGAGGAGCGTAGTACGAACGAAGAGTGGGAAGCTATGCTTGGCCCGGATCTTGGCTCTGGCATTAGATCGCATACTCTCAAGGGCCTGAAACGGAATCTCTCTGAGAGACATCACTCTCACACAGTTCGACGACTATTTCAGCGTGTCTTTTGGGCAAATGCAGACGTGGGTTCTCGTTGCGCCACATACCAGAGTTCAATATGTTGACAAATCTTCAGATTCAAGATGCATTCTCCGCGGTTTCTGAAGCCCTTCGGGAATCTCTTCGCACTATGACAGGCCAACTTCGCCAAGGAGCACAAAATGTTCATGCTCTAGATGCAGACGGATTTGGCGATATCATGACAACTCACACAGGACCACCAACACAGGAGGATGCTGCTTCTGATAACATCACCGCCGCGAACCGGTACCTTGCTGACCTATGTATCACATTCCTCGCGACGACTCCTGTCCTTCGATTTTCGTCCGCGGAAGTTTTGCGCGACAGAGAGTTGACAAAGCTCATACTTCATTGTCCCGCAGAAAGGCTGCTTTTGATAGGCAATGCAGTCCTAGGATCAGTTCGACGGCAGATCTGGAGTCTTGATATCGACGTCCTCAACGCGCTCCTTGACAAACTCGAAGATCTCCTTGGCTTGCACACTTATGATCACAATGTTGATCTGCAGCTTATGGTTGTTGATTTACTGGATTCCACTTCGCATTTTTGGCTCCAGAAGTCAAACGCGGACAGTGATGTCGGAGATCATATTCGCGAGTTATGCGGTTGGCTCAGTCAAAACATGATACAGAGGAATTTCGTCTCGTGGAAAATACGCGATTTCGTTTCCCAATTTTTCGCTAGGTACATTGCCCAAGACCCATCCGAGTCCTTTTGGCCAACAGTATACAAAAAGAAACCCGTAGAGCGACCCTCTACCATTATCCCAATGCTGAACATGGATCAAGATATCCGCGTACGCTTCCGGGCTGCAGTCGTGAATGCTCGTCTCTTCACCATGGCTCGCTTTGCTGGTCAGAACTCCCTTGATATATACAATACCATTAAAGAGATGTTGACAAAGGATCTCTCGGAGTGAGTCTTAATTCGTTTCCTTGTCTAACCACTAAAAATCAAGACACAGTTACGAGAAAATGCTCACTCGTACTTTATGTCTCGGCAATATCATGGTCGTGAGTTCCGCTGTGAGGCGTGGACCCTACTGGCACTTGATCGAAGCTGCCTTTCATAGCTCACATTACGCAAAGCACATCCAAGCGACTCTGACTGGTGTTTCTGAGAGACTTGGGCTCCCTAAATTGTCAGACCTCTTCGAAGCATACGCTTCACAGATTGCGTACTCCATTCGACAGGCTTTTCAGGATGTGTGTGGTCTCCCTCCTGAGCTCCTTGGCTACCGGGATCGAAAGGAATGCGCAGAAGCAACCTTCCGTCTTTTCACGCCGACCAATGTCATGGCAGGCGGCGGAAATTCGGAAACGGTGGAACACGGCCGCCGATTATTCCTGGCTCACTGCGCCACAGTTCAAAAGACCGCTGCTGATGGCTTGCAGGAATGCTTGGGTGATCTCATCGGATTCCAACTTGTATTTTGGCTGGATGATGGGCGAGTTGGTTGTAACACACCACCGGAGCAGTTGAAAAAGATGTTGAAAGACAAAGGCGTCGATCTTAACCAAGAGCAGGGTTTCAACGACAGTGTAGAGCAAAATGCGGCGAGCATTGCAGCGGCAGTAGTTCGGTCCCTAGGTGACCAGGACTTCTCCGCTGATGGTCCGATCATGCAAGCAATCAAGGCGCATGATTCGAGCCACTCCGCTCAAGTTTTCAAGGCTCTGTCCAAGTACCGAACCTTGGATGACTTCAACCTCCACAGTCCAAATCTTCCTGCATTTGGCTCATCCACTGTCCTACGAGCTCTCAATTGGTGCATTTCTCTCGCGGTCCGCGATCACGTCAAAGCCATATCCTATCATGTCCTCCACCAGCTTTTCTCCGAAGTCCAGAGATCACCATTAGTCAATGAGCAGATCCGCCTACTGAACGGCATTTCTCTTCTAGTAGCGGTCCGTCATGAGGACTTCCAAGAACCTACATTACTCCACACTCTGATTCATGAAGCAACTTCTCTTCTCGCTCAGGTGGACCTCGTACAGGCGGCTCGCTCTTTCCTCGAATGGGGATTTACCATGTATCTTTTGACGTCTCAAGTGGATCCAAGGTTTCCTGATGTGCTCATTCGGGTGTGCGCTCAGGCTCATGATTATTCACTTGTCACCGATGACGTTCAAATCGCAACCATAGGCAGGGGCCTGTTACATTGGATCGACAGGCAAGCTCTCGAACTTTGCCGAAGTTCCAAAATCAGGTCACAGGTCATGAACGCCCTGTCAGCTTGGCCACATCAGCCCTCATCTGAACTGCTGTCAGTTTATGAGGATATCACTGCAGATGGTCTTTCAATGATTTTGAGCGACTTTCGCATTGCGTCCAACAAGTTTCGCCTTGTCAGGCGGTTCCGAGACCTCGCAGAGCAGCGCGTCTATGATCGAGCGCAGTTCGCCAAGACAGATTTCTGGCGTCTTAAAGATTTCATTCCTACCAGGGACCAGCTCCAACCTGACGACGTGGATGCATTCGCTTCTTTATTGATCGCGAATAATGGGGACATCTACAGCTTCGGGAGTGAACAGCCCTTTCTGCAGACGTTGCGGGGGCGACATCGGCGCAGTGCAAAAAAGTCACAAATGGAATCTTCACCTCAGCGGGTGATCATTCAAACGCTGCTCGCTATGATGGACGGAAACTCACCACAAGAAGTCAATCTCGCTTACTCCACCCTTCGATCCGTTGTATCAGCTTCTTCATCGGATATGCTCCTCCTCCAATCTTGGCCTGTCGAGTCGAGAGCTGCTTTGGAATATCTCCAACAATATCCGATCAAAGCGAGGTTTCGGCATGTCCGCGGCATTGACGAGCTGGAGGCGACGGTCAAGTGTCATCTGGAGTCTGAATTTCAGAAATGGATCAGCGAGCTGGCCATCTTGCTGAGCGATGTGCTTAGCGCTGTGGACCCATTTTACGCACAATTCTCAACGTTTTTGGAGCGCGATGTTTCTTTTGCCGATGAAATGCTTCCCGTATTGGTCCACACTTTGCTGCAGAACGAACTTGATCAGCCGAAATCAACGGGCGCGCCCTCGAAATCTCGTCTATCAGAATATTTCAGTGCCATGCTTATGTTGGAGAATGTCCATTTGTCCTGCTTAAGGTCTATTGTCGGCGTCGTACTTCACCTTCGCAACTTTTGCCCGAAAGGTTCCACTGATTCTCTGGCTCACGACAAATGGCTTGATATCGATTACATGCTCCTTGCAAGAAGTGCAGTGACGTGTGGCGCGTATACGACTGCTCTTCTATTCCTCGAGCTCGCGGCGGAGTACCAGTCCTTGGACATGGACAATACAGCAGGCACAGAACATCTCCTTTTCGAAATTTACAGCCACATCGACGAGCCTGATGGATTTTACGGGATCAAGACCGCTGATTTACGACATTTCCTCATCAAACGGTTTCATCATGAGAAGCAATGGGAGAAAGCATTTCGTTTCCACGGTGCTGCCCTTGAGGCTGGAAGCCCCGAGGCAGTCGACACAGATGGTCTGCTCAGTTCTTTCCATGCTTTCGGCTTCGACCGTCTTGCTATTGGCACTCTTCAGACGTCCCAGATTGGCCTTGACACGAGGAATTCCTCGTCCGCCATGTGTTTTCAGTTGGGTTGGCGTACCGAAACCTGGGACTTGCCTGACAATACAGGGGATAGTTCCGGGGCCACGCTTTATCAGGCGCTGCGAGCAGTGTATAGGGAACGGGACCCGCGGGCAGTCGACGCCATTGTTCGCAGCTCGCTTGACGATGAAATGACCCGCCTGCGGCAGCTTGGCACTGAGAACATCTCAGGTATTCGCGAGGTTGCTCGCAATATAATGTGTCTCGGTCAGATTACCCAGTGGAGGAGTCATTCTATGCAGCAGCAGCTTTCAAGCAAGTCAGAAGATACCCACAATCTGCCCAAGCTTGATGAAATCAATTCCGACTTCGAGTGAGTTTTGACAATGATTGTGATTTAGTTTGTATTGATCTTTCCCATGTGCGACAGATTTACAGATTTGGAACAGATCCTTGCAACGAGGATCTCATTGGTACGGTCGGTCAGGCAGAAAGAGGAACGAAAGCAAATCGGCAGTCTCACCACACCGTTCGTTCGTGGGATTCTAGACATCGAAAAGCGATGCCTCGTCCGCCTATCCATTGCCGCTAGGAAATCCAATCAATTGCAAGTGGCATTGAACTCTATCGTGAAAGCACAGCGGCTCGAGAGAAATGCCAGCTTCGAAGTTGCTCGTGAATTCGCCAACGTTCTGTGGCTCCAGAAGGAGCAAAAGTTGGCAGTGCAGTACCTTAAAGACTTGGTAGATGGTCAGAACTTGGGTGCTGATGGTGCAGTAGAAAAGGCGTTGTCATTTGCTCGACTTGTGCGCTTCTTTTTTCCGTAATAGTGCAGGTTATTCATGTCTTTGACAGGGAGACTGGATCGCCGAGGCATGTCTAGAAAAACCAACCGACATCAAGCGCAAATTCTTTGATCCTGCCGTCGAGCTCGCCATTGCAGCCGAGAAGCGGACGGACGTTCGCGACCACGCATGTGCCACTGTTTTCCGCAAGTGTGCGCTTTTTGCAGACCAACAGTATCATTCGATCCTGAAGTCGTCAGATGCCATGCGCTGGCACATCTATACAGAGCGCAAGAAACAGGAGGTCAGACAGAGAGAGAGCCAGCTGCAGAAAACTCAACAAGGAACACATGAGTACTCGGTATTAGTTGAAGAACAGAAGAAGGCGAGAATTGTCCTAGCTGAAGATCTGAAAGCCAAAGCGTGCCATATGGGGGCGCGAGACGCATTCCTTGAGCTAGCTATTGACATGTACTCTCGCTGTCTGGCTTCCTCCGATCGCTTTGATGACGATGGTCCCATCCGCTTCTCGTCCCTTTGGTTTGCGAATTTCGACGACCTTGGCATCCAGGACAAGCTCAAAGTCGCTCTCGATCGCGTGCCCTCCCGCAAGTTTGTCTTCCTCTCTCATCAACTGTCTGCTCGCATGTCAAAATCCTCGGCAGAGACCCCGAAGAACCAGCATAATCTTCAAGGACTCGTCTTACGCATGTGTCAAGAGCATCCTTTCCACAGCCTATACCAGGTATTCTGCTTACGTCCAGAGCAACCCCAGGGTGTGCGAAGGACTTCCTCACGATTTGAGCTCCCATCATCGCAGTCGGATCGCGGTGGAGCTGCAAGCGCCATCTTCGATAGGCTGCTCAGCGATCCCACACAAACAGCGAGGATCCGATCGATCGAGCAGGTCTGTAATGCTTCACTGGAATGGGCCAAGTATCCTGTCAAGCATCCTACGATAAAGAAAACCAATAACGGACTACTCATTCCCGATGCCTTACCCATTCGGAAGCTGCGCGACGTCCAGGTTCCTGTCATCACCTGCCGTACACCCATCGATCCAACCCTCAAGTACAACGATTGTATCTGGATCAGTCGCTACCACCCAGAATTCACTCCAGCCGGGGGAATCAACCACCCGAAAATCAGTACCTGCTATGGGAGCAATGGGGAGCAATTCAAGCAGCTCGTACGTTATCTTTATAAATTCACGCGTGTTCTAACATTGGAAATCTCTGCAGTTTAAAGGCGAAGGCAACGACGATATGCGGCAAGATGCTGTCATGGAGCAAGTTTTCCACCTGTGCAACATGGTGCTACGCTACGATAAAGAGACTCGGCGACGGAATCTTAACGTCCGCGATTACAAAGTTCTACCTCTCGCCACCCAAGCCGGAGTCATCGAATTCGTAGGCAACACTGTCCCCCTCCAAAAATGGCTCCAGGAAGCGCACAGCAGGTAATTTACTCCCAATTTCCGTCTGTGATAAACTTCAAAAATCACGTACCCGTAGGTACCGTCCTAGCGACCTAAAACATGGACAGATCCTAACGATGTTAAAACAAACGCGCGAGAAAAACGGCGGAAAGACCGAAGCGATGGTCAAAACATTTCAACTAATATGCCAACGAACCCAACCGGTGATGAGGCACTACTTTACCGAAAAGCATAAAACCCCCATCACTTGGTTCGCCATGCGTCTCAACTACACTCGCAGCGTCGCTACCACTTCCATCGTGGGGCACATTCTAGGTCTTGGGGATCGCCATGTGCAGAATATATTGATTGATAATGGGTCGGGAGAGGTGGTGCATATTGATTTGGGAATCGCTTTTGATCAGGTACGTTTTTACTTTGTCTGACCAAGCGTCTACTCACTCCGCACAGGGCAAACTGTTGCGTATCCCAGAGAGAGTACCATTCCGAATGACGCGGGACATGGTCGATGGGATGGGGAAGTGCGGGACGCAAGGCGTGTTCCAGCGCTGCGCAGAAGAAACCCTGCGTGTGTTGCGTGACAGGTCAGACGTCATACTCACAGTTCTTGAGGTATTCAAACACGACCCGCTGCATTCCTGGTACGTCCACTTCTCCCTCCCCTCCACATTCAACGTTGACTGACCTCCACAACAGGACAGCGAGCGAACTCAAGATCAAAAAAGTGCAAGACAACACAGCAGAGCCTACCCGATTTGCCCGGGATGTATCCCGCTTCGGTGCCATCGCCATAGACCTACAGAGCGGGTCAGCAGACGAAGCTGCTGATCGTGCGCTCGCAGGCGTCGCGCGCAAGCTCGACAAGGCCTTGAGCGTAGAGTACACGGTCAACGAACTCATAGCGGAGGCTACGGATATCGTGAACTTAGCGACTATTTACCAAGGTGAGTTCTGGTCGTGTTCTGATTTCTGGTCTGGTTGATCGCTGACTGTCTTGGTAGGATGGAGTCCCGACTATTGAAATTTGCGGGCGTTTTAAAATAGAATTGTTCTTCAGTTACTTATGCTTTCTTAGATTACACAAATCTCGAGTATTCAATTCTCATCCTGCACGTGCATAGGACCTGTATCCCTAGTCATTCTCATTCTCATTTCTATACATCAATCAATCGTGCATACACGACAGACAAAACGACATGAGATTACATCAATCAAACAACACAAAGAAAAAACTCCAACATGAACAAGCGCAAGACAAGCACAAAAGGTGTCCAGTCGTGGGGTGGGGGTAATCACGGGGGTAAAAACAAACAAACGAGAAGGGAGAGAAAGAGAACATAGCCAAAAGAAACAAGGGGGAAAAGGTAAAAAAGATAAAATTCTTCGACGCGTAATTGTAAAGGACGCGCGTTTTTCGTCTACAAGTATAGATGAATGGGATGATATCGATTTGATAAGAGATGATTTTGTTGTATGGAACCCGGGGTAAGGGTGGATGCATGTATTACAAAACTCGGTATACGGAATTGGTATCAGCGAGCGCGTTACAGTGGGCGGGTAGATGCAAGAGGTAGATGGTTCGGCATGAAGCAACAAGAAGCTTAAAGTTCAGGTGTGGAGCGTGTGTACCATTATAGGCTAGGACAGGAATGGAATGGGAGACGAGCAGATCACTTATTCTTAGCAATCTCCCGTGCAGCTTTGATAAGCGGTGAAAGCGTGCGAAGCGGTTCGCACTGTTTAAAGAACGGATGCTTCAAGTAAAAAACACATGAGATCCGATTCGCAAGTAACTGAAGTCGAGGTGACACACCTGCAACAACTCGCTTGCCGTAGGCCGTTTCTCGGCGTCCACCTCCAACGTCTTTGCAAGATAATCACTAAACACCGACGAGAGTGCCTCGGGATTCGCAATCGTAGGCGTTCCGTTCGTAGCGATCAAATAGAGCGCTTTGAGTGGGTTTTGGTTGAGATATGGGGGTTCGCCTTCGATCATTTCTATGCGTCTTCAGTAAACCACAGCACGAACAAAAGAGGAGAAACGCATACCGATGGCCATGATTCCCAAACTCCAGATATCAACCTTGGGCCCGTACTCTTTCCTCGTCACCACCTCCGGAGCCATCCAATAAGGCGTGCCTACCATCGTCGTGCGCTTTGAGCTCGCAGGGTCTGAAATCTGCGCGCAGAACCCAAAGTCCGCTGCGGGGCACGTCAAAATGACACGACCATACGTAAGAGAGGCACTCACTGAGTTTAATATCCCCCCCAAGGCTCAACAATACGTTATCGCTCTTAATATCCCTATGAATAACGCCATGGCGATGGAGATGCTCCAGCCCCTGGCACGTCTCCCTGCTCACAGCTGCAATCTGGCCCTCTGTCATCAAGTTCGCAGTAACGACATCTGTCAAGCTCCCCCCCTCCATATACTCCATTACGACCCAAAGATCGTTCTTGTGCAAAAACGAGTCGATATAGTTTACGATGTTCGGGTGTCGAGAGGCGCGCATGACAAGGATCTCATTGATGATGAGGTCTTTCTTGGGTTGTTTATCCAGGTCCATTTGCTTGATCGCGACTGATAAATTGGTGCCCACTTGGTATGCTGTGTACACGCCTCCAGAAGCACTAGAAAGGGCTTAGTAGAGGAAAGAAAAAGACAGCACCACCCACCCTTGTCCGATTTTGACGAGGTTTCGGTATAGCTTCGTTGGATCCGCGTCGGTGCATATCTGCTGCAGCCGCTTGATGATATCATCTTCCTTGTCACCGCCGCCCTTCTTCTCCCTGCGACGCGGGGTGGCGGTGCCGGTTTGCTTTGCGAGGGTTTGGGGCTGTTGGGGTGGCGGTGCGGGCTTGGGTTGGTCGCGATCTCTTTCACGCTCTCTTTCACGGTCACGCTCGCGATCCCGTTCGCGATCGCGGTCACGGTCTCTTTGACCTTTGATGCTGAGATCGGTCTGGCTAGCGCCGATGCTGGGAGACCGGACCCGCGTTGTGTTGGCGCGTCCCAGGTCCTGGGATTTGGATGATTTGGGGGGTGCTCGTTGGGATGTGCTGCGGTCAAGTGCAGCTGCTGGGAGAGGGGGTGCTGCACGGATGGGGGTTGTGGTAGGTGATGGGGCATATGGAATGGATGGGGAAGGAACAGGCTTTTTGGGTGGTTGGGGGGCGTTGCGCTAGAAGGAGACAAGGTTAGATGAGCGGAGATAAAGAAAGGAGGACGTACTGGGTTAGCGAAACCTTCGTTGGCGCTTGTGGATGGCTCTACGCCTACGGCACCCATCTTGTCCCATACGTCGCCTCTTCCTTCTTGATAGAACTTCACGATTTCCATAACGGCTTGGGGGTTCTTCTCTTGTTCGCTCCTGCTGATACCGGATTCTTGGAGTAGCTGCTGCCATTCCTTTGGGAGACCTGTGAACTCGCCGGTGGAAGAGTTGAAACCGACATGTGTGAGGTGAACAGGATCGTAAGGAGTGCTGATTTCTGGACGCTTTGAAGGAGCGAGAAAGTCGAACATGCCGCCTAGCATGCCACCCTTTTTAAGCTTTACGGTAGTGGCGCTACGACTGCGAGTGCCGGAATTGGTACTTGAGATTGCGGGTAGATCAGGTAGGATGTCGACTGGCTCTGAAGTGTATGGAGTATCTGTGATTGGCACTGATAGACGACGTGTTGCGATTGGGCTACTGCTTGTAAAGATGTCGTTTAGAGTTGCGGTGTTTGCCCTACTTGGACGAGTAGGAGCGGTAGGAGACATTGGTTGTTTTATTGGAGCCGCAGCGAAAGGATCTGGAGCTGAAAGACTATGTTTCCTTCCTCTTGACTGTGGTTTGTGAAGGCTATTCCGTACTCTTGGTGAAGATGGGTCGACAGGTGTTTTACTGCGAGTTGTTGGTGGTTGTGGTGCAGAACGAGAAGGAGTTAATGAAGGCAAAGAACTTGAATAAGGATCTTTGTAACTGTAAGTCGCTGCTTGAGCAACAGTAGCAGCAGCTAGAGCTGGGTCTGCTAACAGATCCGAATATTCTTGAACGCTCTCTCTTGAAGGACGATGATATTCTATTGTGATTTTACTTTGACGGCGTGTTGAAGACGGCGTGTGTCGATGGACACTCATCGCTGCTAGTAACCGTTGCCGCTTTGATGGTTGGCAACCTAGCGAGTGTGAATAATTTCGTCGTCACTGTGAACAACGATCAATACAACCAAAATTTAAATCGCCAATGTCGATCAAGTCGATGTCCTCGAACAGTTTGTTGGATCTGAGAGTCCTTGCTCGATGTAACCAACGCCCTACTCGACTTCTGATGACAAAGCTTTCTCACGAAGCGTCACACGTGACACCCCTTCGACAGGGGTCCTTGTTCATTCATTACCGCCGGTACTGCCCAAACAGGACAAAATGACATCAAGACATACTTACCTCACGGCGTCTACGTGGCTTGAGTCATTCCCCTGGAATGACATGACTCTAGACTTCCTGCACCCATCACAGGGGCGTTCTCTAACTCTTTCTTCTCATTCCATTATCCGTCCATGACCTGCCATGACTTGCCGTACCACTCACGGAGAGCACGCCTTAGAAACTGACAGCAACACAGTCCCTCATTTCCGGTGCCAAGTAGACCCAGAAATAAATATAGACCAAAACGAAGACGTGAAAGAGAAAGGTGAAAGAAAAGAACTTCCAGAGCTGCGTGGACGCGATAGGGGTCGTCCCCCCATATTAAAGAAGAAGAAAAGCTCATATGACTTGCGCGACATCTTTCAAACTCAAGAGGCGGCTTCTTCATCTGCCTCCTCGTCGCCAGCCATGAGCAACGTTTCATCACCTGTCATCCCGTCACTAGGCGCCAACAAAATCATTTCGCCAGATGAAATCATCTGCGCACCCACTCAGCAGCAGCAGACGACGACCCCATGCAACCGTGAGTCTTCTCCTAATCAAAGCATCAGTGACATCACTTATGAAGAAAGACGGCTCACTACCTCATGACAAAAACGTGCTCGAGGACCGAGCACATGATACATCTACTTAGATGTCTAAACCACAAACTTTCACCGGACGGTACCACCATCAACAGCCCTCACCAGACACGGATCCTCAGGATTGATAAAATTACAATCGGCGGTATCACGTTGAATTCATCTTCATGTTTTTATTTTGCACACGTCTTCTCACACGCATACCTTGCTATGCCGCAGCTGTAGTCATTATCTCGTTGACTCAATTTGGAATTGAATATCATTACTCGTGTCAGACGTTCCAGTGCAAAGTTAAAAATGATGTGGCTGTGACACGCCAGGTCTCGAAAACGGGGAAACTGCAAAGGGGTTTGGATGGGATACTTTGGGACGGCTAGATTTATCGGAATACATACCAAGATGGTTGGCAGCCTTGGCTGCACCGAGGGTTGGCCTAGAATAGTCATAAACAAGACAATTCTTGATGAGTGCAAACTCAACTTTAGTCGCCGGATGGAATATTATTTTTATCCCGAGAACGTGGATTACCGACTGTCCCAGAACTCGAGGATTAATGGCAAATTTGATAATTACAGAACTGGTACAAGTCCCAGCAGAGCCTATGTATCGGAGACAGCGCCAGACGGTACAAGATGGCTGAAGAGGGTGCGAGAGGCGGATGTGAGAGGATGTGGAATGTGACGAGAAATGGATGTGATGAGAAGCTATCATTCAGCACATGCATTTCTTGTCATATTCCACATCGTTCCCCTCGCATATCTCCTACAATGTCTCTTGCATATGCAAGTCTTTCTCTTATTTTTTTATCGTTACTGAGAGGAGTATGAGAATGCACTGCGACAAGAGTTGCAGAAGGCATGTTTATAAGTATCAAAAGGAAAAAGAGACGAAAAGCTTACGATAGAGGACGCGGGATGGAGTCGGCAGTTGCTGGAAAGGCAAGGGTAGTGTCAGGGGCGTGGAAGGCTGCGGGAGGACGTGGCAGGGTTCGAAGGGACAAGTGATGGAACCACGGGAGAGGACAGCAGGGGTGCGGGAGATGTACATGGAAGGGCCATGAGGGGAAGTGCTGGAGGCTGGCAGAGTTGATGATAAAAAGTAAAGATAAAATTTAAATAACACGAAAAATTACCGAGGTGTGGGAGACAGACTGCAACAGGATCAACACTACATATTAGCTATTAGCAAGTACTCAAGTATTTAATTAGTTAGTTAGATTCAAGTTCGAAACGTTTGCTTCAACATACCCAAGTTTGCGCAGGACGAGGATGTATTGCCTTTGGCTGCATATAGTGGATCGATTGTTGCACTGACGGCGGATATATAGAAATTGCCTAAGGATAATTCAAAGATGCCCTGCATCTATAAATTATGGGGCCTTTGTTGGAGGACATCTCGATCACAGTCGGATATCCGACATCATCCGCGTCAGCATAATCATCGTTCCCACGCATCAAATGCATATTATATATTAAATTTAATGTTCCTGTAAGTATTAAGTTCGCTGTTTCCCACACACAACGCCAAGGATATTACTGTATATGGACAAACTGCTACTTAAATGCACTATGCTCTTTGCGGGTTCGTTCGTTTGTATTAATTGTAGCTGGCACGCTGAGTCATAGCGGACCGTCTGCGGATGTTCGGATGTCGACATGTCAGACACGGAGGTCCTGTGCTTTGTTTGGCGTTGTTCCCTAGGCTCGGGCTGGCCTATTTATGTAATCACTCTAGGCAGACTGGTCAGGGGCTACTACTAAGTCGTTTCCAACCAACCACTCAACATCAATTATTCTCTACGCTTAGCCAACCGATCTTATCCTAACTTCCTAACTCAGCACTCTGTCTTCTTTCACAACAGTACAATATACATTGACCAGTTTAACCACAGGTTCAACCAGCTGCTTAGTAGCGTGTAGTATATTTACCACTAACTTGAACACCCCAAGTTTTAACAGTACATTTAATATCAGCATGACCGCACTCAAACCCATGGCCAAGTCCAGCAGCGATTGGACGAGAAATGAACTTGCGGCCTACAACATCAAGGTCGACTACCAGGATGCTGCCACCTTCTTCGAGATAGACCGTGACAACCTTCCCCAGCCCGACATTAATCCGGATATCCTCACAACTTCAGATCCGAACGACGTAGCTGACGATGACGTATCCGAGCTCCTCCGTACCATGGAATTCGCCATGTCCCCTGCTCCAGCAGAAGAGTCTGCTGTCGACGACTTTACTGTGTTACTATTACGTGCACTTGGCTACACAAAGAAAAGAAGGGTTCCAAGGACAAGGAAGGTAAATCCTTTCGTCGTTTGTTCAGAAGATAGGCACGCCGAAACGGATGTATGCATCATCGACGAGAACGGAATCTTGCTCCTTGTAATGCAGGAGGACAAGTGTCACATAGACAGTTCATACGATCCCGAACCTCAGCTCATTGCAGAAGCCATCGCTGCTTTCGCTGCGAATAATCAGACTCGCCAACAAATACTCTGTCAGCGCCCCCTTGATTCTAAGGTCATGGCTGGAATTACTATGAGGGGCACGACACCGATTTTTTTACAAGATTGAGGTTACAGCCGCACTTGTAACTGCTGTTGCGGGAGGCGTTTACCCAGAGGCATCGACCACCGTCTATGCGCACATTCCAAATGTGCCGAGACCTGACCGCCGTTGGCGTGAAGGCATGGAGCCGTTTGACAGTAGAGCTGTTATTATTTCCTGCTATGAGGCTTTCAAGAAATTCGTGAATTAGAGTGTGAGGTCAGTCTGCTTTTCCAAAGGACTGGTTGATGACTGATTTCGAGATTTAAGATAGTGGAAAGCGACTAAGTGTATGATTGGATCTGCCGTTTCTTACGCCTAGTTGCCTTGTGCTTGTTGTCCAATAGTATACTTACAAGCAATCCGCTCGCCATCGGGCGGTTAGTTGTAGACTACGATTTAATTTTGAGCGCTCTCGCCGAATATTAATTTTTATACTATGAACAATTTGAGTCGTAGTCCTCGAACTTTACATACACTGAATTAATACAAAGGTAAGTAAGTATGAAAAAATGCCCACATTCTCGTAAAACGCTTCGAAACTGGAAGGAGCAAGAAAAGCTCAAGGGACAAGCAATCTAATAGCACCTGACAGATATAGAGACCAAGTGGTAAACGTGATAACTACAAAAAGTTGAGAAATACCATAAGAAAGGTATGCATCAAGAAGATGACCTCTCCGACATAATCTCCTCCAGCCTGTACCTTCTCGAGGTAGTATGGTATTTGAAATACCCATCGAAAAATGCAACATAGGCGTCATATGCCTCAGGACGCAGTCTCAGGAATTCGAGGATATTGTGATGTGCTTGCACAGTTTTCTCAATGAGTTCACGGAGTGTGTCCTGTTTGGTGAGAGCACGGGAGGCCGCTATGAGCGACACGTAGTTTACGGAGTCGCCATCGATCTCCTCTTTGTAGTATGACAATATATCACTGAATTATGGCAGGTTATAAAGGTTAACAGAAAATCATCGATGTACTTACTTTGTGTGGTTTACGACTATGATTAGATCTGGCATACATTGAACGTATTCCCGAAGCGGGAGTGTGGGAGGGAAAATGAAGAATGCATACGCATCTGCCAAGCCCGATAGTAGCCTAGAATACTCGGGGTATGAGGGAGTCTGCAGAGAGATCTGTTCACACGAAGGGTTAAAGATCGAAGCTGCCTTTATTGGAGAAACACCGTACCGGCATATCTTTCGTCTCATTGTCAAGTAAAACGGAAGACATGAAGTTGAGCATGGATGTGGTCATCAAATTTGACACCGGTGCAGAATAATGGCAAACGACCTCCCGAAAAATCCCATCAAGCGCATTCAGAACTGGATGCTCCTGCGGCTGGCAATTCACGAACCGCTCGTTGAAACTGTACACGTGCACCAGATCTTCTGCCCTGATCATCATGTCGTCGACGCACATGCCTACGGCGGTGAGAAGGCAGATCCACATCCTGGTTGCATTGTCCTGGAGGTGGTTGAAAGTGTTGGACATCATGGCCACGCCAGCGGGCATGTATGGGAGGATGGCGTCCATTGGATAGCCGCGGTTGATGGCCTCCTGACAGCATTTGGAGTACCACACTTGGTCAAGTGTGGTATTCTTATATTGCAAGCCGCAGCGATTAAAAAAATCGGCGATGGACTGGCGGATGTTTGCTAGAACCTCAGGCTATATTCGACGTTAAAATCGGGACATGGAAGCGTATCGAACGGCAAGCACGTACTTTGCGATCGAGGGTCAGGTTGTTCATTGTCATTGTGAAAACCAAGTTGCAGAGAGAAAATTAGCGAGAGAATTATACTCTGCGTACGTCGAGTTATCGACGAATGAGAGTCCTTGTAGGTCCTTTTATGCTATGCCGCAGTGCAATTATGATCGGAAACTTCGCGTCCATAAACGAGTTTTTGCTAGGTGACTTTTGGGTTTTTCACGATGTCACGATGAAACGGCGCTCCACATGGTACAATATTGTACTAGTATCAACTGCGTAACACACTAGTGGGTATTTGAAATAATTCTAGTTAGTCACTCGAGAGTTCGACGAGTTCTAAGTTTGGAACCTACTAGGTGAGTATGCAAATAATTGTGTATCTATCCCCAGTCTCAAGTACTTGGGGAGAGCGTGACTCATCTGATGGGTTAAGTTGTCCTATAGTTTGTGGTCCCCACAACTACAAGTATGACAACAAATCAGATCTACACCCTTGTTGAAAGAAGGAACGACTGTACATATTAAGAATCTTTCATTTACTTAACTTATAAAGTTTGATTACGAGAGACTCCGAGTGGGACCGCTCACCCCGCCGCCGGGTGCCAATGTGATTTCCGGGATACAATTATTAGTAGGCACAGTCAAACAAGGTTAGCACACCTTTGAAACACTATCGCGATCTCTCAATCGAGGCTTCCGAACGTGAGAGATTCGTACTAGTAAGATGTAAACAATAAGATAGATTAGCGGGAGTAAGCCCCCCGTGTATAGGGCTATGTCCGACACAGGGTCCTCGACCCCAAAGGACAATAAATAAGATTTTTTTTTGAAAAAAAAAGATGTAAACATCATGCATCTAAGTAAAGCCGAGGAGGCCGGGCAAGTCCGTGCACCCACTGGCAGGGCTTCCGTGAACTGCATTGACGCTGACAGATGACAGATGCTCATCAACCGCTCGTTCGTCAAGCTAACCGCATCCTACCCCAAACGCCCCACAGGACTACTCACGAGTCTCCGTTCCCAACACGCTCCCCTCAATCGCCACCTCCATCGAATCAGTAAAAACGAACACTCGCACCGTGACTAGGTCCACACTGCCCAAACATAGAAGAATCGGTTTACCACTTCATCGTAGAGTGTCCTCACTATTTGAAACACCCTCCAATTGCGTACTAGGACGCGAAGCCTCATCCATAACCCACATTGTTATCGCCATACGCTTATGGCACGGCAAACTGTTCAAATAATGGTGTAATATGCGTAGGCTGGAAGTAGCCTTCGACTTCTTGGGAAATGAGACTCCAGGTCGTGGGGGACAGAAGGAGGCAGTTGTCCGGATTGTTTGTAGGGGACCTGACGTCGGAGACATGTTGTGCGTAGGTGTGCATAGGTTGGCGCGGAGGCGGCCTTGAATCACTTGGGCCATGGGGCTCCAGGTCGCAGGGGGCAGTGAGGTTGCTGTTATGTCGCGCGCTGCACTATCGATTGATCGTAGGCTGTCGGTGCAGAGTAGTAATGAGAGGAGGGTCCTTGAGTTGTCCAGTGGTGCGCTTTATAACCAGGATTAAAGGCTTCAGCTTGGAGGTGGACGATGGACGATCAGAGAGGGAGCGCGCCCACATACTTCGGGCCAATGCGTCTATGGAATAGGCTTTTCGATGAAGAGGACGGTGAGCCATCCTAGATGCCGTCTTGCGGTTGATGAGTGATCGAAGCTTAGATGGATGAAGCGGGTCCCTTTTTGCAATTGGTATGTTGAGCCTAGGTTCTGGTGCATGTTCCTTCCGAGGCTGTGGTTCAGAACGATCGCCCTAGAGATTCAAACGTCACGCATGTGGGAATTGAGGTTATGCTGCGTCTTACCGAGCGGACAGTGCCAATGTCATGACTAAACGACTCACAGTCGTCGATGTCCAGGGCATCGTCCTGATTATCGTCCAAGAAGACATCAATACTAACCGAGTCATTTTTATGGGGTACAAGAGTGGTGTTTGAATCAATAGACAGGCGTTTGCAGTAGATGTCCAACGAAGCGAGTGATGCAAGGGGTGCAAGTATTAGGGGGATAGAGATTGTTTCCGTCGATTCGATTAAACGCAATGGAGTTGGAGTTGGAGTTGGAGATGGCTACTAAATTGATAGTTCGACATGCTTAGGCGTAGCGGAGGCGGCGTTGTCATGAGGCGTGCAAGTGGAAATTAGGGCGGATATAGTTACTGTCGATTTGATTAAGTAAACGCGATAGAGGTGGAGACGGAGATGGCTGCGAATGACAGGCTTAGGCGTAGTGGAAGCAGTGTTGGCATTAGAAGATGGAGGATTACAGTCGTCGTCATCGTGCTAGGGAGCGGCGAGTATATGCTTGGCTTTGTTGCTGAGAATTCTTTGTGCGGCTTTGTCGGCGGCGAGAACCAAAGTGATCGTCAACAAGCAGACAGAGCATACAGCGAGGCAAGCAGAAGCCTTCCTTGCTTTGGACAGGACCTAAGCGATATTGTCGACAACAACCCGTTTGAAGCAAGAGACCGTAAGGGAGCCAGCAACAGCGACGCGGGCAGTAATAGTCATGGCAGAAGGATGATTGAGAGAGATGAAGATCGTAAGGATATCGTTGGTACGCGTAGAAGAGGGTAAAGTACAAGAAGGGAAATATTTGCGCGGCCACGCCGTATTTATACTGCTAGGGTATGTGTGCGGGCGATAAACAGACTCGATCGCGACGCGTTAGTCACGTGTTCAGAAAATCAACTAATGGAACTGAAGCTTGAAGTGGGGATCACATTCAGAATTGGAGCAACTACCAAAGAACAAGGCAGGTCTCCTAAACAATCTAACATTAATGTTATGTTATTCAGCGAATTTTACAGCGTACTTATACTACTCCGAAAACCTCGCACCTTGAAATGTGATTGTGTTCGGCACCAACCAGTAACTGTTGACGTACACTGCGTTGGATCCGAACATAGTGGCTCCATGGCTATACCTTATAGACTCTCATGGTCCGATAATTTTGCACACGGACCATCTGAATTCCCCGCTGTCAATAAAACGTCCACCAAATGTTATTACTGACCTTCCCATTTCATTCCAGACTTTCATTTTAATTTCAGTACCAGGATGTCTTCCCCACTCTTCCTGGGCTTTGACTTGTCCACTCAGCAGCTAAAGGCAATCGTGATCACGGAAGGTGTTTCCATTGTGCACGAGAGCGCGGTGCATTTCGATCGAGACCTTCCCTCTCATGGCACAACGAATGGTGCGGTCAAAGGCCTAGATGAAGGGGAGGTAACGAGCCCGGTGCTCATGTGGCTCGAAGCCATTGACCTCGTCATGCAGCGCGTTAAAACGCTGGCGTTGACCTCAGTGCTATTGCCGGTATATCTGGTGCTGGACAAGTGCGTGTGAACAGTTTTAATGTGAGGTGAGCCTGATTCATACGTGAATCAAGCAACACGGTTCGGTATACTGGTCTGAGGAGGCCGAGAAAGCTCTTGCTGCGATGGATCCCAAGCGCTCATTGGCTGATCCGGGTCATCTCGCCCCCCGTGCATTTGCATTGCCCAATGCACCCATCTGGCAGGACTCTTCGACGACCAAGGACTGCCGTAACCTTGAGGCTGCTGTCGGTGGTCCACAGGTGCTTGCAGATCTTACAGGAAGCAGAGCCTATGAGCGGTTCACAGGACCCCAAATTGCCCGGGTGCGTGGTACATATTGTATTACCAATGTCCAATGATTAAGCACCAATTCTTACTCTACGAAGATTTGTCGCCTCAAACCCGCCGCTTACCGTGACTCTGCACGCATCTCTCTTGTCTCGTCGTTCCTCCCCTCACTTTTCCTCGGGCATATCGCCCCGATCGAGGTCTCTGACGCGAGCGGGATGAACCTGATGAACGTACTCACATGTAAGTGGGACGATGCACTCCTTGAGGCATGCGGCGGTCCCGAACTACGCGCCAAAATCGGCCCTGAGCCTGTCGTTGGTGGCACCATTCTCGGACGCATCTCCCAGTGGTGGGTTGAACGCTGGGGATTCAACCCAGGTCTGCATTTCATTTTCCATATTGGTTGGCAATATTTCTCATCTGTAGCACCTATAGATTGCATAATTGCACCATTCACGGGTGATAACTCTGCGACCGTCGTTGCCCTTTCAGCACCAGGTGATGCACTCCTGTCCCTGGGCACGAGCACGACACTTCTGTTGAGCATTCCCCCTGCCGACTCGCCTCCCGCCCGTTTCACTACTTCGCACCTCCTCTCGCATCCTACAACTCTCGATGCGCAGATTGCAATGCTTTGCTACAAGAACGGTGCTCTTGCGCGAGAGCAGATCCGTGACCGCTGTGCTGGTGCAGACTGGGCACGGTACAACGAGCTCGTAGAGCAGTCGCCGCAGGGTAGCTCTGGGTTCATGGGATTCTACTTCCCCCTCCCCGAGATCATTCCTCCAGGGGTTCAAGGCGAATTCATATTCCAGTGCAAAGATAATGAGGAACCACAGCTGGTGCATGGACTGCAGCCAGATGCCTCACAGCATGCACGCGCGATTCTCGAGAGCCAATTCCTCAGCATCAAATCACGTATTGCTGCCATTCTTCCGGCGCACTCGCCTCCGCTGCAGCGGCTGATTGTCACTGGTGGTTCATCGGCAAACCAGACGATCCGGCAACTTGCAGCTGACATGTTTGGGATGCGTGTCTATGTTGCAGAGAGCAAAGAGGCTGCAGGGACGGGAGGTGCAGTGCTCGCGAAATTTGCTTGGTGGAAGGCGCATGTTGGAGGCGCGAATGGAAGCTTTGAGGAGATGACGATGGAAACGGGTGAGGTGGAGAGGATGAGGCTGGTTGCAACCCCGAAAGGCGAGGTGACCAAGGTTTATGATGGCCTTGTGGATAACTATAGGCGGTGCGAGGAGCGGGTGGTACACCTATGTGGGTAAGCGTGATGCACTTTTTGTATCTGAAGCGGACATATTTTGCAATTTGCATCTACACATCATGTACAGACCATAGAGCATACTATATCTTCACTTTGTTATGTAAATAATCTCATTAGAATGAATACCTGTCTTCTTTTATCTATAAAGGTCTGGCTAGGGGAGACGATGAGCTAGTTTCTTGTTAGTTTCTTACTCCAAGTTTAGTACCAATTGAGATCACCATAACCGGCATCTCGAATTCGATCATATGTGGAGACTTTTTCAATACACCCTCCATCGGGCACCACTACTGGTATGTTCATCGGTTTGTTTTCTGGCTGACTCATTCACGATACTTACATCAACAATCAAAGACATTGCGCAGAAGGAACATACACGTAATGTATGACCTGCACGATTCGGAGCAGTCACTGCACTCTCCCCCTGCCAAACGACTAATCACCGAAGCGCAAGCAGGGAGCTCGGAGTCCTCCAAACGCGTGAGGATTGAACATGAGGAGCCTGAGAAGACATTACATTCAGCCGAATATGGTGGTCCTTCCGACACTCCCGCCGCCGATACGAAGCGGGGAAAGCGGGATGCAGCAGGCTGGGCGAAGTCCAGGCGAGGAAAGGCCAAAGATACGAAGAACAAGGGGCGTAGACGGGGGACGCGTGATCACGATAAGGATGGTCAGAAGGAGGGTGAGGAGCAGGGCCCTAGAGCCCCGCGCCTGCCTAAGAAACAGAGCGCATTGCTTATTGGGTTCTGCGGGACGGGGTGCAATGGGATGCAAATGTACGCTGAATTTTGGATTTTCTCTTTCGCACTTATTTTCTTTTCTTGTCCTCTATCTCTGCCCTACTAGAGAAAACATTTTATATTTTTCTCCTGCCCTTCCGCTATCCCTGCACTGCTGAACATGCGTGTGTAATGAAAACAGACAACCCGACGTGCGGACGATCGAAGGTGTCCTATTCGATGCACTCGTGCGTGCTGGCGCAGTCTCATCAGACAATGCGGACGACCCTGTGAAGGTATGGCACTTGCTACATGGTCCATGTTGCTCAGAGGCTTCATATTTCTAGGTAAATCTTGGGCGTGCGGCTCGCACCGACGCGGGAGTCCACGCAGCTGGCAACTTGGTGTCTATGAAACTGATCACTGCGATTCCTGGGGTGGAAGACTGGGTGGCACGTGTAAACGAAGAACTGCCACCAGAGATTCGTGTTTGGGGCTCCGTATGTATTCTATCTCTTTTTCAAGGCAGGAAACAACTTTGAAGTGGCTCAGGTCCGCGTGCAAAACTCATTCAATGCTCGCATGTGGGTTCACGAGTGTCATTTCAGTGCATCATCTCACAAGCTCTTTCTCAGGTCTTGCGACAGCCGCAAGTACACCTACTTCTTCCCCTCATACCTCCTTATACCTCCAAAACCGGGGTCAGGATTTCAGCGTGCATATGAAGAACATGCACAGTCTATGCAGGGCGTTGTCCCTCTAGATGCTTCCGCTCACCCCTTCTGGAGTGCACCCGAGTCTCGTTCTTCCGGCTCTATGGATGATCTCGTACGCAAGCGCATGTGGAGGATAAGTGCAGATCAGGTAGAGCTCATCCGTGAAACTGCAAAGAAGTTCGAAGGGACGCATAACTTCCATAACTTTACTGTGGGACGTGAGTTCGGAGATCGCAGTAATCAGCGACATATGTGGAAAATTGAGGTACGCTGATGAGGTTGTGGTTAGTTGACATCTGATAGCATCTCGACAGATATCTGATCCTGCGGTCTATGGAGACACCGAGTGGATAAGCGTCCTCTTCCATGGGCAGAGCTTTATGTTGCATCAGGTGAGTTAGTTTCTTATTCATAACGTTGCTCTTATTTATTTTATTTAGATCGTAAGAGTTTGTACTTTGGTAGAAGTGCTACGATGACAGATTGGTCACAGCGCAAAATGATGTCCTCTCTTGTCTTGTCTTGTAGGACAGGTACGCCAGGACAAGTCATCGACGAGGTAAGTTTCTGTGTTACCTGATGAGACCACAAAATAATTCGACCCTTCCCGCAGCTATATGGGCCGCGCATGGTCATGGTCCCAAAGATGCCGGCTCTTGGTCTCCTGCTGGAGTACCCAATATTTGACTCATATAACAAGAAAATTACTTCGATCAACGAGAAGCTCGAACCTTCTCATCCAGATTACCGACCTGAAATCGATTTCGAAAAACACCGAGAGTCTATCGATGCATTTAAACAGACCTTTATTTATGATAATATGCGGTGCATTGAGGACCGCGACGGGGTGTGGGTACCTCTGACTGTGTTCATTGCCACTTAAACTGATGAAGAGAAACAGTTTTGATGCGTGGGTGCGCTCAATCGACTCGTATGGAGGTGATGATCTGTTGTATTTGAACCCGAAAGGTATTATTCCCGCAGCTGCTGTTATAAAGAAGGGAGATAAGAGAGACAATCCGTTCAAGGAGAAGAGAAAGTTTGACCTGACGAGTTTCCCTGATAAACAAGGAATCCCGACCATAGAAGACGATGAGGAGACAGAGAGCAAACTGAACAAATCCCGCCTGGAGGACATGGAAGGTTAACTAGTAGTTGTGTTTCCTATCTTATAATACTTGCAAGGTGCACAATCGGTATACAATCGGTATACAATGGTATCTGAAGGACACAAAGCAAGCCTTTACTGCGGGGAATGTTATGCGAGGCAGCGGTGGGGACAACTTGGCGGACGCGATGGATGTGTCGGACGAAGAGCAGGACGGGATTCGTTTTACATAGTATTTCCTATTGTCTGTTGCAACTGTTCCTAATTCCTCTGTGCGACAGCCGTCGGCGATAAACCATAAAATATGCGAGTTGGGTTGGTCAACCTGGTACGTAACAGTTGAAACGTTGACGAGCGAGCAGTCGCTTTGTTATAATTAGGACGTAAGCTAGGAAATATGACATATTAATCTGTGTGATGGTAAATGCAGGGAAAGTGAGTTGTTAGAAAAAGTCTTTGGATGTGCAAGGATATGCAGATGAGTCTTCATGAGCATCAGCGATTATAATTCAGGGGTTCGAGTGAATTGGGAAGCTAAATGATCTTCATGATTCAATCACCCATGTTCTGCGACTGCATCCTTGGTGTGACAGTGCTAGCTTGGCACTATGCTCCGTTCTTACATTCTGGAAATGGGCATCTACATCCACGAGCCCAAAGTTTGCATTACGCTAGCCATCGATATTTTCAGGGCCCAATGCACTAGGCGAGTTGAAGTATTTTCACTTGGCTAAAGCAAGATTTGCGTTGAATACTATTCGACATCGGGTGATCGAGCTCTATGTGCTTAGCACCTTAAGCTTGCCAATGGACAGAAACATACGCATTATCAAGTTTTTGACATTGTTCTAGGCTTGTTATTATTGTTATGAGGCACGCATTCGCATGATGAAACGCTTGAGCAGTGTACAATGGTCGCCGTAGAACTGGTACCTGAATGACGCACAAAGGGCCGCAGTAATATGCTTTACTCAGTCCCCATGATGTGAAACCCACAGATAGAGGCTCGAAATGCATGTACTTTGAGGGTACCAAAGTACTGGAGCAAGTCGACGACGACATGTCAGGAAAGCAGCGGACCAGCAATGAACGTCGGATAACATGGCAACGACCGATATCATTCAGGACTGGAACTTCCTCATCAACTGTATCTCGTCGAGTAATGCTTGCAATCTATCATCCTCAATCTTTACCAAACTGTACAAGAACATTCATCATCTCAATATAAACAGATAAAAGAACTTGTGGATTACCTTGGGATGACGCTCTTTGCCTCCTCAGCATCGACGGGACACAAATTGGCGATTTGAGCGGTTTCGAATTGCGTCAATGCGGGTTCGCGTCGAAGGGTTCTAAAATGAAGTCAGTTAGGGCGAGTAGAGGGTATCAATAATGACTGAAACTGACTCTCGTACCGCGCTGGCAGAATCGGTTGTGTTGAATTTCGCAAATGTCTTCACGTATTCAAGGGTCTTGTTATAAACACTGGCTAGAGGTAAGAAACCCGATGATGAGAAGAACCAGAAGTCATACGCAGTGTCTGGCGCATCCTTGTCCCTATTTTCCAGCAGATACTTAACCTCGGATATCAGTAAGCAACCAGCATTATTGAACTCTGTAAAGTAAGTTGAGAGCCAAAGTTACAGTAAATGCAAGAAAGCATACCTGCTCCGAGTTTAAGAGCAGAAGCATCTTCATCCTCGAGTAGAGGTCTGTGCCGTAGTCGGGTGGTCATGTTCAGCCACTGGGTGTTCAGGCAGTTTGTTTGGCAAAGACCTCCAAAAATAATACCTATAAGCAGACACAAACAATACTCATGGGCAAGAAGGACTTGTATTATATGTTTACACATTTTTGTAATATATCTAGTGAAAACAACCTCCAATTCCCTGTGTGCGAATACATGCAACGATAGCAACGACATGCAGACTTTAGCTAGCGCAAAACAATAGACACAACATGGGGCGGCATCACTAAAAGCGCGTTAAGTAGACTTCCAGCTGGGTAAAGATTCAACTTACCTAAATCCTACGTCGCAAGAGCAACAGAGCAAACTTTCGGCACGTTTGAACTGGCATCAGTATCTTCCACCGATACCATTGCCATTTTGTCAACCAAAATGGCATTGGCAACAGCCTCGCCGCGTAGCTTCTCCATCTTGTCCTTGTCCTGTGAGCCCTCTGGTGGACTACGGCTTTGAGGTCCCCCGGGTTTCCAAACACCCTTTGGATTGAATAACTCTACATTTCCCTTCGGCGGCGGCCTCTCGAATGCCCCGTCTGTGTCCTCAAGTCGGGTATTACAGGGAGCGCCTGTCACATTAGATTGCGTGTTGGAATGATTGGCGAGTATATTTCCGTGTGAAATGTTATTACCCGGCATGAGAATGGATCGAGTCGATGATAGGTTCGTCCAGACACCTGCAACAGCTGGTATGCGCTTCTCAGGCGTGGGGGACATAGACGACAGGGGAGGGAAATCTGTGGGCTGAAGTGAGACAGATGGATTTTGATGGCCGCGCTGGGAATTGTTCCTAGCGGGAGACATAGTTCGGGAATTCATCGAGTGATCGTGATGTCGAGGATGGGTGGCGTGTAGTGTAGGTTGTGGTTTCAAGCCGACGGCCCAATCAGGTCTTGCGGGTAAAGGATGTTGAGATGAGGTTGACGTGAATGTCCTTCGTGAAGAGGATGAAGTCGTTGAAGATGACTACAATATGGGGAGTGAGTCAACAACAGAGTAAAAGGCGGAGTCATGTCAAATGACTCACGGCTGTTGATGATGCTTCGTCACCTGCTGATATCCTGCCACAAGCGTTTGTGTTCGAGTTACCAGAAGGTCTTCTACTAACCGATGAGCTCAGGCGTGGGCCCACCACCTCACCACCAGGACGGCTGCCCACATTGTTTACACCAAAGCCACCCATACCCACTCCTGGACCATAACTCCAGGCGCTACGCGCCGGAGGAGCTCCACGAGGCTTAGGACCCATCGAAGGTGAGTGAGTCAAGTCGCCAGGATAAGACCGACTCGAAGGTATGGCGTCGTTGCCTCCAGCATTATTCATGTATCCATTACCCGGATAGTGTCCATGGTTCTGAGCAGAAGGAGGTGATGCTTGTACGTGTGGAATATGAGGAGGTTGGGGAAAGTAGCCGGACATAGGCATAGGGTATGGTCCATAAGGCGGTACAGGAGGCGTAAAAGTAGAATACTGCGACGCCGGGGGTGCGATTGATGAAGTAGAAGGTTGCTGCGCCGTATGTTGCATGGGAGGAGGAAGTGACTGTTGTTGCTGAGCGGGTGACCATGCGTACGGTACGTAAACGCTTGGATGCGCGGCATGTTGTGGAGAGGGATACGCCTCCATCGTCCCATGCGTCGCCGAGTTGTCTGGCACATGCATTGGAGCTTGCGGGTGAGGGTACGGATAAGGGGCGTAGTAAGGATAACCAGGAATATAGTTTGAGGGAGGTGGCGGCTGAGGGTATGCGTACACATAAGGATTGACATAACCAGGTTGTACAGGAGGTTGGGATCCATCATACGGGGCAGCCGCCGGGGAGGGTTCATACAGGGTGGGGTATTTGAAAGACGACGGTGATGGCGCTCTTGACCCTCGGGAGCTACTTGAACCACTGACGTTAAATACAGGGGCACTCGATCGCAGGCTTCGCGTAGACCCGTTTGACCTTTTATCGCGCACGGCAGGCCCAGACCACTCGCTCTCCGTAGTAGGGGAGCTGACAGATTCGACATCAATGTCGCCGGTACTACTAGTCTCCCCGGCACTCGTTACAGAACCGGAGGTGAGGCTGATCGTCGAGGAGCTAGCGCTCAAATCCTTCTCCTTGCATTTCTCTCTCTCCTCGAAATCCATAAAGATGCGTGAACGTGCTTCATTATACGCGGCCTCGCGTTCTGCGATCGTCTTATGCTTCTTGCTACTTCCAGTAGCATTACTTCGACCACCCTGGCTTCCAGATTCGGATGGTTCTACATCGGAAAGCTCAGGATCTTCTCCAATAATTGAACCAGCCTGTGAGTGTGGTTTTGACCGACCACGGTCAGCAGTAGATCGTCGCATGATCTTGATAGTTGGGTGGGTCGAAGGCTGTGCAGGAACGAGGGCCGCTATGCGACGGTTGGGGCTATATTTGACCAGCATGAGTTATGATACTATAATGTAGAAATATACAAACATTTTACTATCCGCTGAAAGAAGGACGCTAATCGTCTTTGATACAGGGTCAGTCTCTGGCGACAGTTTATAGTAGGCAGAGCATCTGTGCACCAAAAGGCGCTGATATGATGTAGCAGGCATCAGATCAAGCCGGGGCCTAAAGCTAAAAGCCGTCAGCACATCAAAATTAATTCAACGTCGTAAAGGACCGTAGAAACAGCTGCGCCGCATGAGTACGTACGCAGCACTACGTTGCACATCGCGACGCAACAACACCACGCACAACGAACAGACAAAAAGACGCACCTTCGGTCATTGATTAAATTCTCCATCTGCTCACCGAGCTTCAGGACGTATATCCTATCTTTACTTTTGAGGGCTTCGATAATCTGAGGATCGACGTCGGCGAGGGTGCTAGCGCCCTCCAATTCTGCAAAAGTGTCAGAATCAAAGCGCGACGGCGACTGGACATTTGCTGGTTCGGTAAGAGGGGGTGATGTTGAAGTCATGCTTCGTGCGAGACTCGACTCTAGCTGAGAACTGGATGATGTGTGGGACAATGAAGGAGATGGTGATGAAGAGCAGGATATATAGGGAGCGGGAGATGCTGAAAAGGAAGGCATCGATAGCGGCTCTGCATTGCAAAGTACAGCAACCAATGCAATTATCATGGTCAGCATTCAGAAACTCATTCACAAATTACTTGAAAGGGATCTGGAGGCGACTCACGAAATGACATGGAGACTTTGAACAGTAAATGGTTTGTCGGCGTCGTACACTGAAATTAAGGACCTGTCTAAAGAAAAGGTCAGGACAAGAAGATTGGAGGCATCTGGTGGTCTAGGGGAACGTAGGTGTTCAGGATGAAAGTCTAACAGGCCCCAAAATCCCAAGCCCAATCCACCTCTTCCCACGACTCTGACAGTCTCCACACCATCTTATATGTAAGGCGCTTCCACCAAGTCCACACATCGTTTGCCAAAATGCAGATTATATTCTCTATAAGAGAACAAAATGTATTCAAATGTACGTATATTTTACAGGACCTTCCATCAGTGGGACAAATTTTCTGAGGGATTGAAAATTCGGTAGATGTTGTACCCCGAGCTGTTGAAACGATTTCAAACCCCGTCGCTTTAGACAGTAGTACAGCGTTACGTACCAGAATACAAACACGCAGCACCCGTACCCTGCCAAAGCGAGGGCAGCTTTATTGAGCGTCCTGCTCATGCTAGGATCATCTCGAGAGATCTGAAACGCATAGTCCTTAACGGCGCTTCCGAAAGCATCGGAAAGATTCTCACCTTCCAGAAGAGAAGCCCGGGAAGGATAAATGAAATAGTAGTGGATCCAGTGGTGCCAACAAAGGACAGCACTAAGTAGGGCAAATTGTTAAATCAAAAAGGTCACCTCCTCAGCATCGGCCAAACAACCTACCCATCTGAAGGTCATTAACGAAGTACGCGACAATGAAACCGACACCGGTAATAGCAGCAGTCAGTAGCGTGTGTTTGAGGGGGGACATGTCGGCAACGGCGTGATCCTCATCGACAATTCCATCGTCATTATCGCTGATAGAAACCTTGATAGGGGTTCCTACATGGAAAATCTTGTCCAAGCAATTCCTGCAAGGTTGTACTTGCAGGGGATACGAGAACATGATAAGTAGGACGATGGCCAGCTGCCCAACAGCGATGAATATCGATGTCGAGGGATACATGGCGATGATATTAGCGCCGACCTCGATGAAAATCGTCAGTATGCACATAATACAAAAGCGGAAAGCAATTATTCACATTGGAACCAAAGGTCAAATAGCCAAAGAGTGCGATGACCTCATATACCACGATGGCACTACCAATAGAAGTCCCAATAACGATATTCATGCGCTGCTGCGAGTTCGTCTTCAGTTCGTTGAAGATAGGGAACAGCTAGAAGAACTATTGAGTCAGTCATCATGGTATAAAGAAAATCCATACATTCTGGGCACACGTGAACGCAAAAACTTGCACAGGGAACGTCGAAATGAAGTTTGGCGTGAAGTGGATGAGATGGATACCGCCAGCTGGAGCGGTACCTTCTAAGGGATTAAAGTAGCATATAATGACTATAGCTAAGAGGTATACTGGGTTGCGTGCACGCAGATTTAATCACCAGTCTCAATGCATAATACTACGGGTTTGAGCTCACCGACGGAAAATAGGACGACGTAACTCGCGTGTCTAAGGCTGTCCAAACGACGAAAGGAAGCAAGGGGGACGAGAATGAACATGATGAGCGTGATCCAATTCCGACCTGACAGGGCCCACGCAGGCGGATTAGTGTCCGGCGAAGTCAAATCATGGTACAACGATTCCACAACATTGGGCATGAGCGACTTGATAATGATGAGATAGCTGAATGCCGTTAGCATCACCAAAAGAACGGGCTCAAGAACGCTCACCTGATAGATACTCCGAAACACTTGATGGCTATTGCAGCATCAACGAATATGGCAGCTTGCGGAAATGTAAGCTGTGCAATCGCAAAAAAGGAGCTGCTTCTATGCGGCGCGCGTCTAGCCGATAGCGAGAGTAGGTACAGACCGAAGGCGCCAATACAACCGGAGAATATACATGTAAGGATTCCTGGTATAATACCAGAAGACGCCATAGCCTGATGACGTCAAATGAGCCCATGGAAACACCCTGCAGGTCTGCGGAATCCTACCAAAGGAAAGGTGAGCATGCCTGCATGCAAACTAATCAGTCTCAAGAAACTATTATCGAACGAAAGCACTCACCGCTGCCCATGATTGTATTTGTGAGGTTGCTCACGGAGCTCAGCATGCTGGCATGACCTTGCTTCTGATGAACTAAAGGAGCGGCACCCCCTGCAAGAAGGGCACTGCTCTCGCTATCACCTACGGTTGCGTCAGTCGCCGTTGTGAGCACCGCTCCGTATTGCTGCACCATCTCGTATGAATCTAAGTCTAGGTCTAAGGACTCGGAAGTTGGGCTGGCAGAAGGGGTCGAGTATCCGCTACGAATGGGGTTGGATAACACACGGCTGGTCTGCACGGAGCTGAACCAAGTATTGGTCAGTGATAGGGAGTGGATAAACCAAGCCAGCGTGTGAGAGAACGACAAACAAAGGAACTCCTCCGCGAGGCGACCCTCTTTCTGTAGAATTTAACTATCCCCTAATTGGTAATTTGCCTGACTTAGTTTCACGTGCACTGTCTGTTTGGTGCTTGTGAATTCATAACGAGGTACATAATGACCACTACAGAGTCCAGATAAAGGCGAAACCATATCAAAGCTTTGAAAAACAAAGATAGCACGATGCAAAACAAAACAAAAGTCATCAATACCGAATACGACTATGACTGCTTCCCAAGCGACCCGTCTGCCGTTCCTTCTGACGTGCCTGCATCCGTTGGTGTCGTAGATTCGTCATAATCTGCTTCCCCATGGGGGACAACTCAGAGGACAACGCAGGCGAGGGTTTGTCCTGCAAGTGCGGTGGTCGGAAACCAAAGGGTCGCAGGGGTGTCTTTGGTTGGGGAAGCTGAGATGCCATCTCATTCTCTTTATCGCGTGGAGGAATGTGAGCGGATGAAGAAGCCTCGACTTGAAATTTATCCTTTGCAAGAGATGGCGCGCTTGCGAAAGCATGAAGTGACGAGCTGTTGCGTGCAAGGATGGGGGGCTGGCTATCGTCATTGAGGTCAATAATTTTGGAACGCTGAGATGAGCGCGGACGAGAGGATGCAGGGATGAAAGAGGCTGTGTCTCCACTGATGATGGTAGCGAAACCTGGGTATCTAACATCCGCATTTGATTTCTCTCCGAAGGCAGGTCTGGAAGAAGTGCCCTCAGCTAAAGGAGGTAAATCATCCTGCAGCCACGGGCTGGGATTCGACTTGGATCGCGAGGGTATCTTAGTAGAAGCTCGTGGACCACGAGGACTTTGACTGCTTTGTCCACTGCTACTGCTCCGGCCAGTATGGTTGACAATGACAGGTTCGGATTCTGAGTGTACAACGTGATGCAATAACTTCTCGTTTAGAGCTGGTAAAGCTTGCATAGATTGCGAAGAGGGAAATACGAGCGGTGAAGTAATTTTGGCATAGGTGGATTCAGGTAATTGGGTATCGCTGAGAGGGGGTTGAACGTCGCTGGATGCCAGATCCAACATGACGTGCAAGGGGGGAGTGACTTTTCGTGTCGGCAGCCTCGAGGGGCGCTCTTCAGAAATCTTTTTCTTGTCAGCGAGGAACCCAAAAATTTGCGAGGCACGTTGGTGAGACATTGGATTCCCATAAGGTGAATTGACGTGGACGTGATGCGTGATTTCAGTGGAGGCGCTGAGCTCTACGTCAAGAGAGGAGAATGTGGGTTGATTTGGTGCAGAGGTGTCGCATTCAGTAGAGATTGTGATGCTGTGGTCAGCGTGGTTGAAGTGGGAGGACATGAAAAGGGGATCGCGAGGCGTTTTAAGTTCAGAAGAAGATGCACAAGAATTATCCTCTGTTTCACTGGCAGATCTTCAGAGAGTGACGCATTAAGAAAAATAAAATGCCGCTTACCATAGGACACTCTCAGCCCATTCAATGTCACTGTTGTCACAGAGCTCGGGGCTAGACGGGTTGGCCAATAGCTGTCGAAAGGTTGAGCCAGTGCGACGCCTTCGCAGAGGTCCTGCGACAGGTGGGGTATTGGAGAATACGTGAGAATCTAGGCATCCATTCTCATCATAAACATTGAGCAAGCTAGCGACGGATGGGTCCTGGCGAAGACGTAGAAGACGGGTCTGATCGCGTGGGGTGATGGGTACGCTTTTAGAGCGGCGTCGTGCAGAGTCGTTTAAATTCCGTTTCGGAGTTGTAAGACTGTCCATGGGAGGGTATGCATTCGGGAACTCGGTGCGGCTGTGGACTGTGCGACCGTGTACAGTTACTGTATAAGAGTGGCGTTGGGAAACGCTATTGAGGGTCGCCGTAGATGCAGCCGGCGCCGGAAGAACATTGTTAATGGGATGAGCTAAGGAAAAGATAAGTGTTCGAGAAAGATATTGATCGTAATTCACTTACGGAGAGGTGGAAGTGAGGCATAATTTGAACCTGACTCAGCAGGAAAACGCGCTGAAGAGGAGCGCAGAAGTCGGCTTACTGCCGCCTCAGCATCTTCCTCTCGCGTCGACTGCAGGTGTTTGGGTATTGAGGGTAGGGATTCAAGGTCATGATATGCTGATTCTCGTTTCTTTGACTTCTTGCTCCCAATCGAAAAGAATTTCTTCAAAAATCCCATGTTAGTTATAAGCTTCGTTCGCTGTGTATGTTACCCGGTTTATAGACGTGGTTTAAAGAGCGTAAAGATCGTAACGAAGGGAAGGAAAAACAGAAGTTGATGATCTGCAATCTCAACTATGACCAAACAACTCACAATAACACACGTCTTTTTGGCACGTGATATTGATTTTCGACTTGTCCAAGGCGACTTGCTCTCGTCCGCTCTGGCTCGCAGTAGAGCTGGTAGATGTGTGGCATAAAGCGCACTCTTATCATAGATTACTGAACCAGGCAATCTACGTCCTGCGCTCGAACTGAGCCAAACTACCCCTGTCGTGGACAAGGTACTGCCACTGGCCACTGGCAGAGTTAAATCTTAATGGAGGCTCCTTATGCTTCGTACCAACTTTTTGAACAGAAACATCTTAGACCCATCGAACAGATAATGGGGCAAATGGAAGCACTCGCAGACATCAGGTGGGACCAGTGTTCTATAGAGGAGAGTGAGGAGTTCCAATATGCAGTACGATTTCCTCAATTATGCTTTCGATGGGCTAAACTTTCCACTGAGTACCCAGCCGACAAACTTCACCGCGCAGATACCCAGAACCTTAGTACCACTGATCAATACTACCCCACTCGCTCTTCAGAGCTTGTTAGTAGATGAAGAATATACATCCTGACTATCAGCACGGGAGACCGAGATATGTATGCCGTTTGCTTGCGGCTGGGCCGGGCTGGCTGACATAGACCCTACTTATAATTGTGCGCACTAGACAGCCTACATTCTTGCTTCGGAAATATTTGTTCAAGGTCTTTTTTCTGAGTTACTATGTGAATGCGCTGCTGAAGAACATCGTGTATTCGTTTCGTATAGGTCATGTTCATGTTCTGAATACCCTCAACATTCAACCTGAAGAAAAACGTCTCGCCAACCCCATCATCCGACAGAATCTCACCGAGTTGAATATTGCTGATATGACGGTGGAAGGAATCATCTCAAAGACCTTGGAATTCGTCGAACAAAGCAAGAATACTCCTTCAGCTCGGGAGTCTATCGTGAAGCATTGCTTCTCAGAAATCACTCCCTCGATCCCGTGTCGGCTACTGGGGTCTCGAAGCTGTGCTGCTCCGCGTTGTTTGAGGTATACAACAAAACGGCCGGATCAGATAAAACACCTTTCAGAATGCTGCAACGGTAAATTGTGTCCGCGCTGGAGCGCTCCCACATTCAGTGTTGACAATGGTGTTGGAGCTCAGCTGAAGGAGTCGCTGCCCACAAGTGAAACAGACCGACGTCCCAGGGACAGATGATGAGTCGGCCATGATAATAACTGTTATTTTGACTAGCGCAGCTTGGGATGACGTTTTAACGGGTAGTTATGGTTAGATTAGTAGGTTTGGAAACATATTGGCATCGCAGCAGCCTGGGTGTTGGACTACAACGTCACTTTGACTCTATTACTATCATTTCCTCTTGTTTTGTACTTAGCTCAGCGGTTCTACTCAAACGCTGAGGTACGTTGTCTCACGCACGTCTGGTTCACTCTTTCCAATACTTTGTTTCTCACATTAATTTTGTTCTTTAGCCTCCGTCTCTCACTTATATAAGTAATAGATAGAGGCTTCACGTGATATGGACGTTTGACTTGCAGCGGGAACTCAACTTGAAAGTTGCGCCGTTCTTGTGCGATGCCGACTCCGCTACTGGTCGTGGGCAGCACTGTCCGCGACTTTTGTATGCTAGAGCGAAATTTCTTGTCACATATCAAACTTGTCCTATTGTTATTGCTCATGTTTGCCTCGGCGTTGCTTGGAATCCGTCTCCCTGGACCTCCTGGCACGGGACAGTCTGAGAGCTTGGGGTCTTTCAGTTTACCCCTCGCGATTCTTCAGTTTATCGCTGCCTTGCTTACAATCGCTGCAGCGTACTGGGAGTATCACACAGGTCTAGATGACCTGATGAAAGTCAGAGCCTTTGTTGTACACAGGTAAGTTTGCGGCTACCCAGACTTTATCATGCTGATAACAGCTGCTCGTAGAGTACACCATATCATTATGGCAGCTGTCACTTTGATTATCATGGCCACCTGTATCATATATGTGGTCAATAGCAGTTAGCGCTTGCAGGTGCGGCAACTTTTCGTGACTCCGTGCATCCTCGTTTCTCATGCTCCTATCAAGCGCCATTTCTCGTGAGAAGGAATTGAAATTCACGAGAGTATGTGACCCATATCTTCGTGTCATCATTCCCGCGATATCATCCTTCAAAATTCTTCGCACATAACAATCAAGTGTCGTACAAAACTTGTTTCACTTTGTTGTCTTTGCGTCGGTCGATACACGTCTCAATGAATGTTTCGGTGCATTCTGATACCTCTCACGCTCTTGTATACTACACTCAGCTGTATTCGGTACATCATTTCGAACTCTGATGACAGACTATGTGTGAGACTCTTTTCGTGCTTCGCTGACCCGAGCGGCTTTCGCCACAAGCGGCAAGCCAGCACAACTCGCTCGATTACGTGATGAGTTGGCGAAGGTCTGGAGAAATCCACGCTCTATGAAAAGCGCCGCGGGGAACCATTAAAGTGTCCTTAAATTGTCCCAGACCTTGCTCTTAACGTTATCCATCATAGTTTCCTCCTTTCCTTCCTTCACCAATGAGAATTAGCAAAAAGATCGAGCAGGCCAGCAAAGAGGGTAAAATATGGTGGTCGTTCGAATATTTTCCGCCTCGGACAGCTCAGGTGCGACCCCATCGCGGTCATCAGACATGCAGCTATCTGATACGTGTTCATAGGGTCTGCAAAACTTGCTTGATCGTATAAAGCGCATGGCCGCATTGGGCCCAGAATTCATTGATATTACATGGTAGGCGTTGACTTATAAGATGAGAAATCTCTTTACGCCCTGTGAATAGGAATGCTGGTGGTCGGACGTCTGATTTAACTGCACACATGGTGAAGACGTGTCAAGGTTCAGTGGGCATAGAAACATGCATGCACTTGACATGTACGAATATGCCTAAAGAGAAAGTCGACATTGCTCTCCAGGTGTGTATTCACGTCCGATTCGCCCGTATACCACACTAATATTTATTACAGGAAGCAAAAAAAGCCGGTTGTTGCAATGTCTTGGCCCTTCGTGGTGACCCTCCTCAAGGAAAGGATGAGTGGGAGGCAGTCGAGGGTGGTTTTGTGCACGGTATTGACCTGGTCAAGCACATCCACAACGAGTACGGGGATTACTTTGATATCGCAGTCGCTGGATTCCCTCAGTTCCAGATCCTTCCGCCCGCAGAACGCGACCTCGAGATGAAGTACCTTAAGGACAAAATCGATGCAGGCGTCAACTTCATTTTCACGCAGATGTTCTACGACGTCGATATCTTCATTGACTGGGTGAAGGCAGTTAGAGCAGCTGGAATCACAATTCCAATCGTTCCTGGTATTGCTCCTATTCAAACGTGGAATGGCTTTTTAAAGGCGACATCTCTTGCGAACACCACGATTCCGCAATTTTTCTTGGACGCTCTAGAGCCCTATAAGAACGATGATGAGAAAGTTCGGGAGGTTGGAACTAAACTCGTGGCAGAAATGTGCCGGAAGATTCTCGCTGCTGACCTCGATATCCATGGTTTTCACTTTTATACCATGAACTTGGAGAAGGGAACAAAGATGTTGCTGGAAGAGCTGAATCTTATGCCTCGTGTAGAGACTATCAAGCCTTTGCCCTGGAGACAAGTATGTGGACACCCCTTATCGCTCAATACCTTATTCTCATGTTCTGTTTCAGTCGCTTACACCAAACCGACGGCAAGAAAACATCCGTCCTATCTTCTGGGCGAATCGGACCGAGTCATATCTTTCGCGTACTGAAAACTGGGATGAGTTCCCAAACGGTCGGTTTGGTGACTCGCGGAGTCCTGCATATGGTGAACTCGACGGATACGGTATCTGGCTCAAACAAACGGCGAGTAACATATGACACGAGCCACCGATTCAGTTACTGACTTCTACTACAGAAGGAGGAGGCTCTGAAACTTTGGGGAGAGCCCGAGACATTCGCAGACGTCGCATTATTATTTAGCCGATTCTGTCTGGGTGAACTTAAAGTTCTCCCATGGTCAAATCAAGCAGCATCTTCCGAAACCTCAGCCATCGCCCTGCAACTCGCCAAGATGAACGAACTCGGTTTCTTGACAATCAACTCTCAGCCCGCTGTCAACGGTGCAAGGAGCGACGACCCACAGTTTGGTTGGGGTCCAAGTAATGGGTACGTCTACCAGAAGGTAAGCACCGGCCTGGATACGCGAACTCCCTCTTGACATCTGCATCTGCCATCTGTTAGGCATATCTAGAGTTCTTTGTTAGCCCTCAACTACTAGAACTCCTGCTTGCCCACATTGAGCGCGATAGCAATATGACCTACTACGTCATCAACAAACAAGGTGACCTGAGGACGAACACTCATTCCGACGGACCCAACGCTGTCACATGGGGAATTTTCCCCGGTAAGGAGATCATCCAGCCGACAGTTGTCGAGGCTCTCAGCTTCATGGCGTGGAAGGCAAGTCGCGTTTGGCTCGGTACGATCATTCCTAATATTGTTTCATAGGACGAAGCATACGAACTAGGCGTCAAGTGGGCCAACGTTTATGAGGCAGAGACGCCTTCACGCAAGCTCATGATGGGGATCTTTGAATCATCATACCTCGTCAACGTCGTCCACAACGATTTCAAGGTTCCACAAGCCATCTTTGAGCCCTTTTTCAAGGCAGGTGCTGAGTACACAGCCCAACACATCAACGGCTCTGCTGCACCCCAGGCACTTTCAAACTAGCCTTGATCTTAAGAACAAGGTCTATTTCGCATACCCCCCACGTTCCGCGTTGCGGGTTCAACCCCCGTATGACATGCATATCCAGCACAACTAATATCTGACACCCAACCACACCACTGACAAGAAAGTCCTCATTTCATCGCATCAACTGCCTCAGCTTGTATATCAGCCACCACTGCATCAACTGCACACTGCATCAACTGCACGCATCCCCTCGATATAGTTTCCACGAGACAAGGGATGTTTATTGTAAAAGCCGTATACGAGCAACTAATAGATTGTTTACATGATTATCCGTTATCAAATCTCATCACGTCTTGATAGACGTACACGAGTCATAATTATAAGAGAAAAATACACCCAACCTCTCATCGCATCAGATGAGATCTGAGAAGAAAAAATCGGTATTGCTTGGAGGAGGTCCTGCCACCAGTCCACTGGGTATATCGACCTTCTCGCCTGATAGATCTAGAAGAAGTTATGGATTTCCCTGCGGTAAGAGAGTGGCGATCGACTCACCGAGAAGCTTGATTTTGAGGCCGATCTCTGTCAATGCTTTTATGTACCCTGCTGTTTCCTCAGATGTGACATGACCGCTGTCTCGCCGAAGCATGTTCAACCCATCAGTCCAATCTGCCCACCGGGACTGATCCGATGCGATCTGGTCGGCCAGGGAGCCTTCAGTGGCTGTCAGGAGAGAGAATGATAGGGGTGATGGAGTGAGACTGTTAGGCGGAGGTAGATCGAGGTGATCTCGCAAGATGTTTGGCGGAGATGCACATGTGCCTGTAGCGATCTGGGTGATTGCTGCGATCTCAATCCGCTCTGGTAGATCTTCAAGTCCATTTCGAACGGGAAACTGGACCGCACTGTCCACATAGTGGAGATATTTCAGGCCGTTGTCCTATCGAGCCAATGAGCTTACTTTGGGAAGCACGTATCAGATCCATACCAGTCGTATGAATCTCCATTGTCCGTTTGGTCGCCGCGAAAGGCCGTTGGCTGGTGTGGGGATACCATTGACGAACCATGCCCCTTGAAACAGGCACTGTATTCGTTGTTGACGGACGAACTCCGCGGACTCGCGGGTGATCTTCTCTTTCAAGTTCCTTGATTTCCCAGTATCAGCCAAGAACCCCAAGATCCGATGCCAAAATTCTTACCGTACAGGAACCTTGCTTAGAAGGTCGTCTTCTGCTTCAAGCTCTTGCATCTGCCTGTCCCTCACGGCGCGATACTCGCAGTCGAGGAAGTCGCGCTCCACCTCGTGCCATGGCTTGGTGTTTTCCCTTTGCAACGCCACTTTGACCCTTGAGAAAATCAGCGGTGAATATCACAAGGATTAGGAGAGATCATGACGTACTGGCTTCGAGCGAGCGCCACAATGCGAGAAAAATCGCCTGCTGCAGAGCCACTTTCATTCCACATTCGCAAGAAAAATTGTGTGGCGAGAGCATGGACCCGGTAAAAATTGAGGAAAAAAGGCTGGTATGTCGTTGATGTTGAATCTGATTATGGGTATGTCAGATGAGTTGCGTACTCCGCGACAGATTACTAACATGCAGGAGCGAAAATCACCCAATGCTCTGCAAGTAGTTCAACAATTTCATTCGAAGCCTTTGCGATGGGGCATCGCCTGTCTACCGGACGGCTCAACTGTTCCAATATGACCTGCCGACGATATTGATGTTGGTATTTGTGATGAGGAGTGAGAGTAAAGAAAGCTCACTTTTGAGAACAGATCCGGGTCGTCTGCAACAAAATTACGCTGCGACACGATTGATCAAGGAACCATACGACAAAAATGACGGTGCTCACCAAGCAATCAAGCCCAAGCTCCCCCACTTCTTGAAACTCGTGCACCAGATTCTCACTTGAAAACCCAAGCTTCCGCCACTTCAATACTTCACCATTATTATCCCGCCCATCCTGAACCTTGCTACAATGCCATATATATTCAAGAGCAGACTCATGAAGAGGCTCGACTTCGGGCTCGACAAGTGTCGATTTCTTACGGTATGTCACACGCACGATATTGGCCTGGAAGTCGAGAATCGAGGACGTAAGGTCATCTATATTATGTGATGACATGAGTCGCTAAAAACTCCATGAGTGGTCCGTGAAACACAAATTGGATGCCACGTACTATAACGGCTCTCCGAACGTTGAGCCGCTCGAGTTCAGAGATAAACTCATCCCATTCAGTATCATTGACATGTGAAAGCAGGGAATTGATCAGCATCATGCTGCAGGAATGTCAGTCCCCGCCCTATCTGAACTGCCTGGGCGTTGCACGTACCTATGTAGAATCATCGCAGTATCTGCGCTTCCAAGCCGATTTACGACAGTTTCCAATGATCCTTTCTCCCTCCGCATCTGCTGGAAAACGATCTGGAAACCGTACCGATACACCGAGCCAGGGGGTGCAACTGGGGGAGCTCTACTCGAACTGGCGATCAATGGTCCAGGCGCATTCATTGGGTCAGCTTCAACAAGCTTCTTTAGGATAGCGGTGGCAGGGCGGCAAACGTTGATGAGAGAAGTTTGCGAAAGGATTTGAACGACTTTAAAAATGAAAGTGTTGTCGAGAGTTGACCAGCCGTAGTCCAGATCCATCAGGTTGTGCATTGCTTCAAGAGCGTACTGAAATGATACTTAGGACTTGACCTTATACTTGGTCAAAACGACACGCACTGCAAGTGTGTTTCCGTGCTCAGTGCAAATAACTTGTGCGAGCTCGGAAAGACCCCCATGACTCAAAAATTCCTGAACAAACTTTTCTTCCTGGGAGAACAGCCATAGTTGACATGAGCACCCATGAATAAATAAACCCGACGCACTCTAATGAACTTCTTTAATGACCAGAGAGCCATTTTGAAGGTTTTCTCATCTCGGACGAGGAGTTTCTGGACGATCTCTGCCGCCTCAATATTGGGACTATTGACCAGCCTATAGAGCGTTACAAATATAGCATTAGTAAGACGCCTCGATCACAATCCCAGTATTACACACTTGAGATTCGCTTTGTTCTTGATCTTCCTTCGCAAATTCTCGTTCACGATCAGCTCATCGGTATCTTTATCCCTCAATGCGAAATTGGAGGAGGGTTCTGTAACTTTGAGATTAACGCAAAGCTGCCTGACTACATCATCGACGGTGAGTGTAGGGTCGATTCGAGTGCGGACAGTCACGCCCTCCTTGGTGGTAACATTGTTGGTTGGGATAAGTCCCGTTGACTTGGGACGCATGCTATTCGTTGCAGGCGGTCCGAGAGTTGTGCGGGAAGCGCCAGGCGCTATAGAACCATTGGTAGTTGACATAAGGATATTTACGAGGTGAGAGCGAGATGGAGATATTAAATGAATAAAGATGGTTTATCGAGGCGATCTAGGATCCAATGGGATATTCCTGAGGAGATGGAAGGCAGTTATTATAAACGGACATATATTGCAATAAGTTATGGTCAGGTATGGAATACATCGTCTCCACCACGCGTCATAAGACACGCAGCTCTGACTGACGTGCAAATATTCTCGGATTTCATCGCGCCATCTGCAACAAGAGAGCAATATACTCACAGTATGTTCTGGCCAAACCCTTGCGCAAGCACTGACAAGACCTGAAAAAAAAGGAGATGAGCATGTAATTGTGGAAGCAAGACATCAATTATGATAATATAGTATTCAGATTATGTAGTTTATCGTCTGCATGTAATGGAAACATTCGGCCTGACGTGCAAATAAAAAGATAGAAAATGGCTCATCAGATAGAGCGAATCTGGACTGTTACTCACCGAACTCGAGTGCTCCGAGACTGCAAAGCTGCTTCCTGAGATGAAGGAAATGAAATAGCGCGATACGCGGTGAAAAAGAATGGACCGTGGTGGGATGAGAGGTGGAAGGGCGTTGTCGAATCGCAGCCTAATCTGCAGCCTGAGACAGGTAGTAAACGGGCTGGGCGATCTGCACTGCAGCGCGGTGTAAGCACGAAACTCTGATGAGCACCGCCGAGCTCTCCACAACGGCAACAACAGAAACGAAATTTGAGCACTGCCAGAGCAGAAATCGGCGAAAACAAGTGACATAGACGCGTTTAAGCGCGCAAAAGACTACCGTGAGATTCCAATCATCCGATGTCAACATCATTCATCGTATCATTTTTTGGGCAACTTCGCAGGCACTCGACGACGATCATCGCAATAATAATGATCCGCAAAGGTTCCCTGAACCCGTTCAGGACGAAAATCGAACTATCTGCAGGATGGAAACCTTGTGAAAAGACACGTTTCTATTGACTCTTCAACGTTGACGAAGATCTGAACAGAAACGAATCAGCCATCAACGAATTTCCCCTCATCCTGCTGGGTGTAACCGACGTTAGGTGAGGACCACAGCTATTAGTCACGGAGTCTCTCTGGTTAACCTCTTTTGATTTTTGTAGATGCACAATATTGCAATTGCAGAGCATTTCATGACGGTGCCCGGTACAAGTCCTAAGTCAGCCTTCCTGAACGTCACATGTACGCACCGAGCGGCTGACTACTAAACGGACCTGCCCCTCTTCTTGCTAACTTCTGGACTATTGGTTTGCCTTTACTGGTTGTTCGCCATGTCATCCCATACCCTCCCGAAGTCTTTCGCCATCGAGCGCTCGGATTCTCTAGCATCACCAGACGGGAGAGCATCGACAAAGAAACCTCGACCCATCCTCCGAGACTTGCGAAACACTCTGGCACTGCAGGCAACTGAGAGCAGCCGTTATAGTATCGAACAAGGTGTCCCCTTGGACGCTTTCTCTTTCTCCATCACAGAAAGTCCCTTCTCCGCGGAACGTCGTAGGCACCACCACGGAAATGGCAAGTATCGAGTCAGCCCCATTGCCCTCTCTGTTACTCCGCACGCTGCACCCTCGCTCAACATGCCAGGGTACGCACCCGTCGATGCGCTTGCCTTTCACGTTTCGAAACGTGATACGCCTGCTGAAGAAGAAAATATTTTCATCAACAAGCGTAGCTCATCGACGATCATTTCATATTCTGATCATGGAAACCCCGGTATCGACAACAATTCCTCCCTTCTAGACTCCAAACATGCTGCCATCCATCACTATACCAAACCGCTCAATCTGCGGAGCGCTCCGCTGAACCGTCGTGTCGTCGATCAGAAAGCCCTGGCCTTCACTATCCCTCCGTGTTCTCCCACACTCCCACTCAGCCCGCCTACTGCATCAAGCTCTCCGATTTCTGACCTTCTTTCCAAGCGTTCTGGTAGGATGTTCAAGCTCGTCCCAACCCAGAATGACCGCCTCGTGCATGCTGTTGCAACCGACTTGACTGATTACCACATCGAAAGCCCGCTGGAAAGTCCTTGCTCGTCCTCCCCGACACGTATCGGCTTTCCTCCCGATATGGTCGCACTGCTTCAGGAACTCGATGAACTTGCTGGTTGGGTCCAAAATTTTCCATACCCTGAAGAGGCTGAAGGGGCACTTGATATTCTTACCATTGGCTCAACCGTACCTGTATCATGTCCGCATGCGCTCCAACAGCTTGGCAATGACCTAGATCATCATTCCCTCCAACCCGTGTTGTCGGATAAAGGTAAGAGGCGGAGGCTGACCGAGTCCACGGATGATATGTCCGAAGTAAATCAATTTGCTTTGTTGGCGTTTTTTCAAGGATTGATCTCCTTGGAAGTGCCAGTTTCCAACCAGTCGTTCGGCCATTCCACCAGCCAGCACACCCGTCGCCCGGAGGCGATCAGTCCGATATATATATGAGCCTCGGGTATATATATTCCTTTCATATCATATACTCTTGGTTGACAACTCATGAAGGGCACACCATCATTTCTTGTCGGTAGCTCTACCTCACCGATCGCATACCCCGCAGAAGGGTACCGGAGTCCCCCTCGCGAAGTCATCACACCTGGTTCATCTCCCATCACCAGTCTCACTGCAAGCACCCCTGTCATCCGAGCATGCGGTCGCCGCTCCGTACCCAATGTATCACCGCCGCCCTTGGTCTCTCCCTCTACTGGCATGACTTCGTTCAAGGCGTTCTTCAAGAGGTCTCGCTCTCATACGATGTCAGCGCCCCGGCCAAACACGTGCGGGAGGGAGAAGAAGAAATTTGGGTGGCTGAAGATTTAGTGGGACATGGTATAGCAGTGCTAATGAATTTCTTTGAATTTTCTTTGATTGTTTCTTTTCCCTTGTTCTGTGCGCATGCATTGGTTCTCGTCATATTTGTAGTAGTTTTTCGCTTATAATGCCAATTTCAAATTCGCAAACATACTACGTATCGATATATTTTAAGGCCGACAACACAGTCCTGAACGAAGACAACAGGACTTTAATAAGTCGACCACGATCACTGTAAGTAAGTCCGTAGACTTGTCAAGTAAAACCTAGTCATTGTATGACTCTGGCACAAGTCAGCCTCTTCAGCCGGAGGGCTAAACGCCGGAGTCAGCCGCGGCTGTTCGCTTCAGCTGGGGACCATGGTATTCCTTGACGTTTGGTGCGTCTGCACTGTTCTTTTTTCTGCTTTGCTTTTCGGTATCAAATGTCTTCCGGGTCGCCCTCACGCATCCCTCGTCCTCCGGGTCGCCCATCTCCCTTGCCGTCCCCGCCGTCGCTCGAGATCGCAACCGTCCTCGCTGAAGCAGGCCCGTTTGACAATCTCAAGTCACTCGTTCCGTCGCTCTCGTTCACAGGGAGCTCGGCAGATGATGAAAGTGATTTGGAGGACGTGCCACCATTCCCAAAGGATCACCAGCCACCTATATTTATCATCCAAGGTCACCGCGCTCAAGTGCCATTTGCAGTTCGTCCAGGTGTCATCGCTCTCGGAGATATACATCCAGACGAACACACTGCTCGTATCATTCTCTCTGCGCCAACAATCCCGCGCATGAACTTGGTTATGAAGGAACAGCTCTTCGTGAACACTTGGGTTGTGAGTTGAAGATTGTCCTATGATTTGTTACTTTAGCTGACGAAAGCAAATGTAGGATAGGCTAACTCCCCAGCGTCCTCCCAGGCACGTCCCCTGGATTGGCGATAATTCCGTTCCTAGGCATGACTGGATTTCTGAAGGTTCCATCTTTCCGGCTGAAACCATCAAGTTGCAAAATGGGAAGATACGACAAGCACGGGTGGATCAACAGATCCAGAATAGGTCTTCCAAAGAAATTTTCTCTCATTCTACGCCCTGCACTCCAGGGATCCGAAGCCACAGGGAGATTGCTGTTATTTCGAAAGAATGCCCTGGTCGTCAGGTTGGGTGTAACCGATGGTCCGTTCACGTTCCAATGACTGCTATCAAGCAAAATACAGTTTCATCTGGACCAGGACCCAGTACACCCGTCCGCGGACGAATGGGGACACGGACACATTTTTCGGCCAGTCCCGTTCTTGAATCTTGCTCTGATAAGACAATAAAGCAACTGCCATCAACATGCCGCAAGTCATCTCGCGTGTTGCCACAACTCGGTTCTATTAATTCACTGGCTATTCGAAGAGGCAAGAAAGTCTCCGGTTTGCAGCTCAAGGAAGTAGACGATTTGGAGTATCCTGATATCCCTACGGCTTTCCGCGGGTCTCCAACCGTCTGGTCGCCAAAATTCGATCCTGGCGTTTCCAGTCCCAATGGAAAACTTTTCACCGACCACAGTAGTATGCTATCAAGCCTCAGATCGCAATACGCCGCACTTACGAGTGGGATCTCCACGCCCGTGACGCACGAAAATAAGGAATGTAAAGACGCATCTGTTGACTCCGACACGGACTCTGTATCATTGATGCCATCATCCTCCCATGACGACGAGTGGGCCTTTGAGAATGACCTCGATCTTGATCTTCGGGACGCCGCTGACAATGCGCCTCTTACTCCCACACCTCCATTGACGCCCAATATCGTGCCAGATAGGCCAAGGAAGTCTCTGAACGTCCCTCCAGATCGTTGTTCCGCCCGTGACAGTCTAACTCGTTCTCCCTCACCTCCTTGTCTGCTATCAGTAGTCCCTGCGGTCAAGGTTTCTCCAGCGCCCCTGACTGGTCCACCATGCGTCCCTCTCCCTCCTCCTCCTGTTTTGATTACTCCATCCACCCCTCCGCGGGTGAGAGGAATTTTAAAGAAGGTCAAGAGCGTTCGCTTCGAGGATGTCAGATGCAGTCAAGATGTGGGCCTATTCGTCATGCCAGTACCAGAGTCAACAGCAGCAAGGCGCCCTTCTCCTCTACGGAACAGCTTCATGAGTCCTATCGATAGCGCTACGTCGGCAGACGCAAAGGAGCCTGTGAATACTGAGCCCGTGACAAGTCCTACTACGCTACTCCCCAAGGCAATTCAGGAACCTGTCATCAAGAAGTCGCACATGATGAAGTCCAAGCTCGTTCCGAAGGGTACCATACTCAGCTCTCATCGCATGTCTGAGATACCCATTCTGAAATTTGTCGACAACAACGTCCGCCAGCAGGTCCCGCCTGTACCCGAGCTCAACGGGCCGGCAACTTCTACTCCTGGCCGTCATAATCGTGTCGCCAGTGCAGAAAAGGAAAACGGGCAAACTACCTACGCTCGTGCTCGCAAGCGATGGTCGACGATGAACGAGAACGATCTCAGGATGGGAGTCGAGGGTGCTGCCCCCAAGAGTCGTCTCACTACGCCTCTGCGGAACATTTTCAAATTCAAATAAATTACATATTCCCCTGCCGTTACTCTTGTTCCTTGCTTCCTACATTCGTTATATCATACGCTCTTTTATACTTGAACATCAATCCTCGCCAAATTCTCTTGCCTCTTCTTAGTGTTATATAAACTCGCGAACTTCAAGGCCTGGTGGTCTAGTAGTATGATTCCTTGTTAGGGTAACCATGTTTCGAGGAGGTCCCGGGTTCAATTCCCGGCCAGGCCCAAAGTTTTGCCTTTTTATACACTTCTTTCCCCATGGTCCCTGACCTCGGTGATTCCCATTACCATGGTAGTCAAGATTAAAGGCGACAAAGTTAAACCGACTCAGCGGTACTTCCTGCTTTATCGAATGCCAGTACTATTTGTTAGGATTTGAAATGATGGCCCCGGGCACTGCCATCGTACTGTTAGATGACCTGATCGAAACTCTGATTATGATCTGCAATCTTCGTATACCGCACAGTTCCATTTTTTTGTTGCATCAAAAGCAATCAATTTAATCAAGGTTTCGCGCCAACACCATACCGGCGCTTCCGCGTACATAATAGCTAGTTATTACGCGTAAAGTCAACTTGAATGATGGAACAGCTATCTTCATCAATCTATGATCTGTCTAGGGAGAGTAGTGGAGAGTAGCTACAAGACTGTTGCGAAGGGCTTCAAGTTAGTGATGTAGGTACCCCACCTTCCTCCGTGCCAGCTGGCGAAATCCTTCCATGCAGCGCTACTTTCACCATTGGCAATTTTAATCCAGGTGAGCCACGCTCCCAGGATACCGTCTGCATACGTGACAGTGTTTCCCATGACGAACTTCCCTCCACCATTCTTTGATAGCCAGCCGTCTACAGCAACAAGGCCTTCCTTGGCCTTAGCCCAGTCAGCGTTACGCTGGGCACCAGCAGGAGAGAACTCCTCAATCTTCTTCCCATAAGTCGCCTCTCTGGTTGCTCTGAAGTACTTCTCACTGGAAGGATTCAGGATGTAGCAGCTGGTGGCCAGCTGATGAGGGAAAAGGCTTCCGATGGCCCCTAAAACACCAGCCTCTAATGCTACCATCAATGGTTTCGTACCGGGGGGGAACAAGGTAGTTCCACTCGGGTAAGTCGCATCGAGGTATTCGGCGATAAGGAAGGAGTCAGAAACAACTTTCCCAGTATTGGGGTCATTAATGATGGGAAGGGTGTATAACGGGCTGCCATCAGCATTGGTGCTTGTCGGTGGCGCCCCAATTTTCTTGGCGAGAGCTTCAATGTCAGGGTACTCGACCCACTCGGTCTTGTATGCAACACCCTTAATGTTCAAGGCATATCTGTGCAAGCGCAAGGTAAGTGACTGCCTATATCATTGCATACGCGGAGCACACACCGGGTCTTCCACGTGTTTGGGGACCACGCATTCACCGACAGGGTAGAGGGGATGTCGTAGAATATAATCGGAGATGACATATTGATCGAGTGCGTCTGGGTCTGTCACATCTGAAGCTTGAAGGGTCTTTATTAATTAATACCTGTTCGGGACTCCGCTGCGGGAATGGAAACAACGTAATGGTGTACTGTGAGTATCTCACCACGAGGACGTTTCTTTCTGGCCCCCGAAAGGTGTGACGATGTATGTCAGAAAACGGAAAGAAACCAACATCATACCTTGTTGTATGTCAGCTTTCTCAAGTCCTAGAGTGTTCGTGATGACATCAAAGGTTGCGATCAAGAAGCAGAATAAAACGTGACATGATACGGCCGTACGCCCATATCTAAGCATGAGAAGTGGCCCATAGACTCTTATAAACCCCAAGTTTGGCCGTTACTCTCAAAGGCCACGGCCACGGCCGCGACCGCGACCCAAATGTCCACCTCTGATGGCGCCTCTTCCAGCAAACCCGATTCGAAACCCCCTGGTCCTTATAGGCGGGCCCCACTGACCTGCCATTGGCTCCCCAGGATAGTCCTGCGGTGACTCCCCCGTTTCGCGAGATCTGGGAAACCGTCCTGGCATGGGAGGGCCATCGTCTTCGTCGTTATCTTCCTGAACAGTTGCCTGTGGCTATTTTGGTCCAGAAAGTAATCAGCAGTGAGAACTCAGTCAGCCAAAATCTCACCTCTAAATCAATGACGAGAGCTCCCATGTGCCACCCAGCAGCTGCTACAGCAAAGCAAAACATTTTATCCTTCTGTGCTTCCCCGTGACCAAAGCTGACCTCCGCGGGCTCGGAGATGCCCGGCGGATATGGACCGCCATTGGAAACAGCAGCTCTTTTGCGTGCCTCAGTTCTGTAGCCCCCTGGCTGGCCAGGGGGAAGCATTCCAGGATCACCGAGGCCGAGTGCACCTCGCGAATATTCACCCCACGTCAAAAGTTTCCCGGTGGATGTAAGAGCACCGTAATGGTAATCTCCAAGAACAACGGAGATAATGTCGTTGTTTTGAAGTGCGGGGAGAATCACAGGATTCGAATCGGCATGTGTTTCGTGAGAACCCAAGAGAATGACAGAACTGGAACCAGGAGAATAAGCAACAAATGTTTGAAATTGTGCCGAGATCTGGGAGACAGTTCAGCTAAATAGGAACATTCGAAAGTCTGCCGAAGTAATTACATGAGATATTCGCAAGCTATCCGGCGGCTTCAGCTGAGAAGAAACATAAGCGGAGTGCTGCTGAACCTTGTCAACTTCAGAGAAGTTGGGAAGCTGAAAATGCGTAAGGCAGAGACTGTTCCACGAATAAAATTAACCTACGTATTCCCATCTCTCAGACCGAACAGCAACATCACTTGCAACAGAAATCGAGAGTAACATGACCATGATTAGTCAAACCGATGAGCCGACTCTCCAAAGCTGCGAGCTTAACAAGCTTCACGGGTTCCACTGACCCAAGTGACATCTCCGGCAGTCGAGGAAGCGGTGGTAACATCGTGGGTTCTTCATGAAGCTCCCATGTCGAGCATGGGATGACACCATCCTCGGTAGCGTAAGCTTTTAGGTCCGCGGCATCCATAGCCGCACTTTGTGCAGCGATAACGTCCTTTAGGGGTGCACTGAATGGCCACCAGACATACACATCACCAGATTTGGTAAGGACTGATGAAAAGTTCCAGCCGGATTCAACCAGCGCAGGAGTAGAATCCAGCGAAGTTGCGGCGAGCACCGGCGTGGCAAGCCTGAAGGGACGGCCCCAGCTTAAAAAGGTCCAAACGTGATGCTGATCATCCAGCGTAGCAGCATGCAACCGCCCACAACTAACAAATGTGAACAAGTATTTACTTGAAACGCGAGAACACTCAAACCTAATGCTCCGCGTAGGAGATGGCATGTCAAGCTTCAATGGTGTATGAGCTTGTTTTGCCGATTCGGAGTACCCATCGTGTTGTAGAGCATACGAGGCGCCATCCAAAGTTCCTGAGTGTGACGTTAGTTTCTGTCCTTGATGTCACACGATAATCTGTGGACTCACCCCACACGTATACGCTACCAGCAGAGTCCAGTGCAAAGAATGCCCTTTTTGGAGTCACATGAGTAATTTTGTCGTATAAGACAACGACAACATACCACCCAGCGGCTGAGAGACTGACTATACGTGCGCTTGATTTGATCTGCAACTCAGCTGGGTGTGGGACATCACCAAGAGTTGAGTTTGGTATCTTCCTCAATCCTAATCTTCCCTTCGAAGGATCGCTACGTAAAGTAATTTGACTAAGCGGAAGAGTAACGGAATCGCGCATGTGCTTACCCCCATACATAAGTCTTTGGGTTGCGCAAACCTCTATAGAGGCGTTTCCATCCACTGATTCGTGCGGTCCTCTCATCTGTAAAATTGAAATCCTCTTCTAACTTCCTCTTCCAGAATGTCTCATCGTTACACAATTGCGCAAAGAAGTGACTTGTTTCTCCCAGATGGATGAGATCTGGAATAGCAAGCCAAGGCAATAAATGATCCAAAAGAACTTCAATGGGTAAGTCAGAAAGCATAGTCATCGAGTGAATGGTTGCAGCACAGAATCCCAGCGGGCAAGGCAGAGAGCACAACTGAGGGAGCTGCGCCGCTGCTGCGGTTAATGATCCATGATGTCACATGTTGCGGTCACTTCCTGGGGGGTTGTTCGCTAGGAGGGGTTGCCCGTAACCACATTAGGGAGTGGATAAAGAACTGTCAATATTGCTGGTTTAGGGTTTGCCTCAAGTTCGATAAATGATGGCATGATAGTTTCCAGAATCACGCCGCAAAAAGTCGTTGGGCAAACTTATACCAGTCAGCGCATGGGACTTGGATACTTTTTGATCACCCTGAATGACAGTACGTGGCTATTTATACATGTGTCTGCTTTTCATCAACAACTCATCCATCATAGTGCATGCCCCCATTTTGCTTGAATACTTGTACGTAGCAAATACCGGTTGTCGGTTAACTTACACTCACGGTACATCTTAGCGGCTCTACTCCACTCCTTCAAGTCTTTGTAGTGGTGAGGGGAGATACCGAACTCACTTCGTAATTTGAAATCATTCAAATCAAAGCATCTCCCGCGCTCACACTGAGTTTCATGTGATTCAAGTTCCTTCTCTCAATTGGGACATCTTTAACACTGCTGATACTCCTACAAGTGTTTGTAGATTGCCAACGCCAGGCTAGCCAAACAAACTTCACCAAGCATAGTCAGGAACGATCATCAAACGCTATTTTGTGTCCCGACCATCCAGGGCATAGTGTAACATATTAAACCGAGTTCTCCGATTGAATGGCGTCAATGGCGATCACCGCAGCACTCCTGTTGTGACGGCAGACTGCCAAACTGATAGTGGCGTGCTCCCTTTGGCTCTTTCTTTTTGGTAGTTGCGCGGTTAGCAAAATCCGCTGCGGCTCCGCCCCAGTGAGCCAGGAGCTCCGTAATGCCCTGCCCCAGGCTACTGTTATTCTCACTCGGCTCGAAGAAGCTTCTTTCAGCTCTGGAGATATAGCATGGCCATGTGGAAAGATTTTATATCGGTCGTCCAACGTAACACTGACTACAACCTGATTTCACGGCGCAAAAATTATTATTATTATTTCGCTAGGTAAGTTATCGAATCTGATAACAATGTCATCCTTACAACCTGGTTTCACGGCGCAAAAATTATTTTTGTTTCGCTAGGTAAGTTGTCGAATCCGATAACAATGTCATCCTGATAAACTGACACGTCCTCATAATAGTTGCGACAAACGAGTCTTTGTCATTCGCCAATCGATAGTGTGCACTCACGATAAGTGAACTCAACAGCCACTGCCGTACAGCTTTGACGGTAAGTATCGATGCGATTCAGTTCTCAGCGAGTCACTCACGATTTGGGCGGACCTCACAAAAATACACCAACTTAATCGGCTTCTCAGATAGGTATTCATGGATATGTGAAACGCACATCATTCTCGTACGAATTGATAAAGCACGAAAGGAGATAATCAGGTTCCCAAAACACGTGACGGCCGCCAACTACAAAGTTACCCCCACAGTGCCACTCACAAGAAGGCGTTCCATGTACGAGATCTAGAACACGAAAGGGGGTCGGAAGGCCCATCGTTCATATATCTGATCAAATCTTCCTTTGGTGGCGAAGCTTCTCGAACTCATGACGTTTGCCCATTGATATTTCTTTATCTGTCATTGAGAACAATTGTGAACCCTTATGTACACGCTGTTAATTGAATCAAAACCTCATGCTAAAGTTTGCTACTTATAAATAACAGACATATCGACTCGTTCAATACGTCTGTATTACATAGATGACAAATTGGAGGCTTCCTGGGCCACATGCATTGGAAATCTATTGACGCCGATACATAATAGCCCCCGACTTAACTTATTAGACTACATAGGCAGTTGAATATGATCATGAATCCGGCGGGCCGTCAAACAAACGAATGCGGTACCCGCAAGTACCCGCGGCACAAATAAACAGATAAAATGAAGCCGCAAACAATGGAAGTGCTTACGTTGTTGTAGTGATTGCTGACGCGATGTGCAGGGCCAGACGGCGTCTCGGTGTTCAAGCAACCGGCAATGCAGGGATTATGCTGCCGCCATCATATCATCATGATGCGCTATCATCGCTCTTGCGCAACTGACCATGTGGGCGCATCCCTACACGCAGCTGGCCATGCGTATCCATTACAACACCGAGCGCCTCGAATGTATGAACCGACTGCGAAGCTGTCATTCAGCAGAGCTTTATCACCATGACTTCTGTGGGTGGATCGAGTTTCACTTCGTGAGAGCCACCTCGGGAAATGAGCATGGACGCAGCATTCATTAATCATACCGGTGAAAAAACTCGAGTCATAGGGATTGGCCGTGAGCAACTACAAGTAGAACATTAATAACCTGATCAAGTTGCCTGTCAGTCCATCTGCCTTATATATCGGATGATTGCACAAGTGTGGGCGATATAACGTACTTCAGAGTCCAGTGTGTTCTGAAGAACAGTTCTGATAATTACCGAAGGTCCGGTCTTCCTAAGAAAGGATGACAATGATTGACCACAACCTGAATTTTAAATGACTCACCTTGGATTCCGAGGGCCCAACACGAAAAAACCAATGGATAGAAGATAAAGATATGCATAAGAAGGGTGCGATTTCCCACTGTATCACAGATCAAAGGATCAGCCTCGAAGGAAGTGCCTGTCTGTGGAGCGGGAACTTGCGGCCGCATGAGAAAGTCAAGGTGGGCGTAAACTGTGCACGGCCAATACACGGCGTCGTCGTCGCAGCAACAGTCTATTGGCATGCGCGGCATGAGTGTGGCTCAATGTGGGCCATTCGCTCTAGATTTCTGTTGCGTGGCGTAACATCGACCTCGTGGTACCATGCACTGCACTCCATGACAAGCGATATTATACCGCATCAAATTTGCATTGCAATAATTGCATAAAAAACAAGCTCACTCGGATGAATCTTCGCAGCGTGCAGACTCGAACTCAATCGATGACATAGATGCATGTGATCGCGATGGATGCGGTTGTTACGTCATGTTCTCACGACTTCGGAACTTCATCATTGTCCAATTGGAATGACCGAACAACGTGCACTCCATAGAAGTTGACAGACCACAGATGGTGGCACATTCACTTGAAGCAAATTCTGAGGTTGAATTTTATGGGCGGTTGGTTACGCAGTCAGGGATCAATTTGCCATCATCCATAATATCTTCCGAAATACCGATCAGAATTCAGTCCAGTATGAACTTGTCATAGAGGAAGAAGTCAGGAAGGAAATATCGACCTGACTTTAAGAATCTATTTCCTACTCATGTACAGAAGTAACTATTACTAGGATGGCAAGTATAACCCGTAAAGTACAGCTCCATGATTATTGGGCGAAAGTCTCCTGTGTAATGTGAGGAGGTATCCGTAAACATGAACGAATAAAATATGAAAGCATAGGAAAAAGAGAGGAGAAACTAGTAATGTATGTACTTAGTAGGATAGTGATCAATAGCATGAACAATATAACCCCAGCAAAGAATGGAGGCGGTGATGCGTGACATGAAAGGCATGAGCATCATGGGACTGCCGATGGTATCGTGATAAAATCCCAACGGGAGGGAATTCCGAAAGGAATGGGTAGGTGGATCGCAAACGCAGAACTACTTGTCATCAAATCAACCACTCCGTCGCTTTTCATCATAGCTTCCAATGCTCCCATGCCCAGAACCAGGACGGTTGTTTCCGTATACACCATAGGCATAGACATCAAGGTCCGTGGTGGCCCCCGGATGCTCATAACCTGGCAGAGGAGTCAACAGCGTGCTGTTGGTCGGAAGGCGGACCATGGCCGTGTGCGACGAGGGCATATTTGATGGGTGAATTGCGGTGTATGCAGGGCTACTAGTGCGAGAAGCGGGAGGGAAGAGGCCACTAAAACGTTGCTGCCGGCGTTCGTAAACGTCTTGCATGTCAATCTCATGCATCTCCTCCGGCGAGGCCGTTGCAGTGAACCGTTCAACATGGGAACTTTGCTGCGGATGCGAGCGAAGCTGGTAGTCCGCGTCGGGGTATGAGTCATGCATGCCACGCTGAAGATAAGCGTGATGAGCTGATCTCGCCATCACTGCTGACGTAGCACGGGCATCGGCTTCCTCTTTTTTGGACTTCCGCCATTGTTTACGAAGCTCTTTAAATTCTGCAAGTGCACAGTCAGCATTGATGCTCTCGACAGTTAAAAATAATGACGAGAAGTCGACACTGTCATCGCGAGGTACCGACTGCACCCGGCTGAACTAAAACGCAAGCGTGAAAGACTCACCATTTGGACTACGCTTGACACCGTGTTTCTGCATCGTGACATGGGCATTTAAGTGGTTCAGAGTGCCGTATGCCTTTGAGCATGAAGGCCATGAACATTGATAAAGTCGTTCAATCTCGTCGTAGCGCCGCCTTGGACGCTTCTTGACAGCGTTTCCAGGCAGGGCCACGAATGAGTATTGTTTACCATCAGAACTCGAGCCTGAAGCGTCAACGAACCGCCTGGCCCCATTGGACGATGTGGAAGTGCCCGTACCGGGCGGTGATGGGCCATAGTCCTCAGAAAGGTTGCCATAGGGCATACCAGGGTAGCCCATTGTGGGGGAGCCCTCGCCACCCGAAAAATTGGGGTTAAGAGGTGATATAGGTTCTTCTAGGTCGACACCGTCGTAACAGTGTAATGAAAGTTGATCTTTGCCGTTCCACGACGATCCCGACAGTTGATCGCGCACAGACCCTGAACTCAGCGTGCGTTGGAGAGACGAGGCGTAGTTCCCATACAATCTGGGCGATGATTGTGATGACGTGTAGTGGTGTTGCAGCTGTTGATATCGCCCGGAGGCTAGATCGGCTGAAGAACTCGTGGAATAACCGCCTATTGCGCTGCCATACATGGCTGGCTCGGACATGCGGCGTTGTTCCAAGAGAGCATGGGCGTATTTATCGGTTCCACGGGAGCTAAGGTTCGACGTAATTGGGTAACGCACCATATCCGGTGGGGAATAGGAAGATGCCGATGTAGGAAAATGATGTTGGTCATGGGGAGCGCTATACGGCTGAGGAAATGAAGCAGTCGGATGATCGTCAACGGAAGGAGAACTTGAGACGTAGCGAGTGCCGTTGACTGACGATGCACCTTCGTCAGTGCGGGCATGGGATACAAGGGTGTAATTAGATGATGGTGAAGTATTTGGAAGTGATGTATATGGCTGAGGCGCTTGAGAGGGTGATGCTACGTCATACAAAGGGCCTGGATGAGAACCTTCATCGAACTGAGTTCGAGGTGCATAAGTGTAGTTTGTTCCCGCCGGCGGTTGGGAAGAGTAATCATGTTCATTGTCCACGGTCATGGGTTGAGGAGGTTCCAGAAGACTGGAGAGGTCGTGAAATAAGAAGTCTTGTGAAACGCGAGGACGCGTTTGGTTGTTAACTTGCTGAGCAAGTGCAAGAAGAGGTGGTGGTTGGAGGAGAAGTGGTGCTTGCATTGGATGGGAACCTGAAGAAGACGGAATCTAGCGGAGGTTATGTGAACCGACTTAGAAAAAGAAGACGTGTTGCGGAATGGACAAGTTGAATGGATTCGAGGAATAATGACACAATGAGATTGTCCGATTAGGTGGAAGAGTTAATATACGTTACGGGAGAGGAGTAATTTAAAACATACGTGAAGTTTGACAGACATGAAATAGTAGCTGAGCAAATCTGTAATCAAATCAAGCACCGGAATGAAATTACGGGCGTACTATCGACGACGACGACAGTTTCGTCCCCGCAGAGAGCGCTCGGGCTACAGTTACCAGCAGCTGTGAGCTGTGTACTTGTCTCAACCGATTCGCGCTGATCGTTGTCCTCAAATAAAGTCAGATCTAAGATATTCCGTGACTTCGTACACCCTAGCCTTCCAATTTCAAATTTAAAAAAACCACTTTATTGGAACATTATTTCTATTTTCGTAGTTTACGTGCTAATCGTCAAACTCACTTTTTCACCCCGAATAACACAAAGGCGTCCCGATCTCGCCGCCGCACATGACCAACCTCCATCTCAGCCATCCTATCGGTCTCCCACTTGAAAACCGTATGCCGCAAGACCCATTCAGCAGCGTCAACCACGGAATTTCTCACATGCTCCCCTTTCCTTCAACAGTACCTCCCGACGCCCAGTACGATATCTTCGGCCAGCTCCAAACTCCTCGTAATAATACCGTTATTGTGTACGCGCGGTTTTGCGGTGATGCCATCATTCGCTTCGTGATGCTATGATAAGGCGGTCCGGTCACACTCTTCAGCCACAAAACGTGCCGTCACAATTGGTCACACACATTATCCCCAAATATGTGACTCCCCGTAGTCTACAGAGTAGAGTGATGCATACAAATTAGCAAACTCCCCGATGGTTCCCTCCCAATTTACAAGCGACGGAGCTAGCGCAGCCACGATGTGGAGCATATGGCACTCATTGCCAAATCGCCTGCGCATCTCCCTTTGTTGACATTGCAATGTCAATGCCTCCGGTTGGTAGGTGGTCATCGCTAACCAATGTCTGTTAGTATGACAGAATGACCTCCGCTTCAGCTTATTTCCTCGCGGCTCGCAACTAGAAACATGGCGGTGAGCGACTGAATTATCGATTGGCGTCGTTTCTGCGGAGCGTACAATGTCAACTAATGTCACCCTGTTGAACAGCCCTGTCAGACTTTTCAATCCACCAATAAATCACGTCCTTACATATGCACAGAGCTACCAGGCGATCATATCGACATGGTGAGTGTATTATTAATCTATACAGCACGTTCAAAGTACCACTATCTATCTACACATCATGATGAAAACTGACATCCGACGGAATCACATTCACCTGTCAAAACGATCAGCAGACTTTGCTATGCCCTATCAAATAGTCACCCCCGTTGTCCTCGATGATTAGCCGTAGATATAGCGGCGCTCTCGCCGATCCCTATCTCCCCTTGACAAGGCCCAAATTGACGTTTTTTGCTCCTAGGATTTTAGACATTCGGACTCTTCGGCATGTCTCGTTACATGCCTACGATGTTTTTCGGCCGTACCGTACCGTACCAGTCTGGTTTTTGATCTCCTCCCCGAGATATTAATTAATTGCTGGCCTCTGAGGATATGTCAAGGACATGACATGCACCATTGTGTCCGACATATCCTGGCCCGCCGGTTTACCATTGTCAATGGGATTGAACTGATTCGCGACCTCCACCCGCGTCTCTCAGGCTGTTGTACAGGTTCTTGATATAAACTTGGACATATTATCTTGGCACGCATGTTCATGCAAATTCGAATGTGAGACATGTGCAAATGAAAAAGGAAATAATTTCCAGCGCTGCATTTTTTGATACAGGTGCCTGGCCGATCTCAACCCACAAAACCCGCCCTACTCCAGAGTCGGGGATCTAAACTTTGCGTGCAACCATGATGTAGCAGTGCAGCTGCTACAACATGTCCGGCAATACACATTGGGTACGTATGATATGCGGCTGTCTCTACCCATCTACACGATCCTGAGCGTCTCTGCATGTTTATACCGATACCCCATTTGGAACCGCACTCCGATCACATCCGGATCAAATGGGCGCCGCGGCAAACCATCATTATGTTGGGACATCGCTGATAATCATATGGCGACAAGTTAGTTGAGGTTTCAAAACTTACTTTGCCACCTGATGGTAAAGCATGACATCGGGTAGTTAACTGCCATCCGCACAAGCGCGGGTCTCGGACCCATTGACATTGACGAGCTGATTAAGTCCCGAGCCTGTGCAGGATCTTACAGAATGTATTTTGCTTAAGGCCGTTAAGAAGGTGATAGACGACTGATAAGCGCGTTTGAGCGTACCTGAGGACAATGATTCGTCATCGGCTCTTCAAGGTCTTCATGTGCATGAGAGATTTTTGCTAGCCTAATCTGATCCTGACTGAGAAGATAACTCATTGTCACCATGTGCAAAAGGACGTTCGAACCAGTGGCGGAGTATAGATTACAGATTCAAAATCAGGGGAATCAGAGTGCGGCAGATAACGAAGTATTGACCTGACCCCCCCCCCCAGTCGTGAGAAACGGCGAAACTTAGATTGAGAAGCGTTTGAAACAACTTTTTCGGCACAAGTAATCCAACGGCTCCGTGTCGGGAGAAGCACGACTCAAGTTGGTTAATGAATTGCGTCGGCCGCCCGAGTTCGTCGGGTCGGGCGAACGCTTCCTGCGCCTCGACCCTGTAAATCCAATGGATGGAGAGCAGCTTGCCTGCCGTAGACAAGTCCAGGCAAGTCCATACTGAAGAGACGAGACGAGACCCAGGAAGAATTACATACGTATTGAACGTGTGTACAATGTACATCATAATGACAGGCCGCATGTGAACTTAATCACTTTGCGGCACCCTCAAACAAGCCTCGAGCTGTAAGAAGCATATAAACTCTCGAAAGTTCAATCGGAACCTTAGTATTTGAACCACAATTGGCAACAGCGAAAACAGCGGATAGGGTATCCATACTGGCAGAGCCATGGGACTGCCTGAACTTCCCTTACAGGTAGTACTAGGGTTCAATTTCTACCGGATTGAACTGTAATGAATGGCACCGGGCACATCCCGATTCCCTCAATAACGGTATATACGTGAATGATGACAAGCCTCGCGCTGGCCGTGTGGTAAATTTCTTATTGTGCCAGTGGGGGGATGCATTTAAGTAGCCGACCCAGAAGATGGCGCCACAACGGACGGACCAGACTCTCAATATGATATTGCTTCTTGCATTAGCGCTCTGTCATACAAACCGACTTGTGCACGCGAAGAACATTCGAAGCAGTTTCAGTATAGTACGTTATTACCTTAAGTATTACCGAAATTGTGACAAAATAGTAATATCAAACCACAGCACCTTCCTAAATTGGCTCGCTCATCCACGCTAACGCTGTCACCTCCACTTGGGTAACGCTTCTTGCATTCGCGCCGCGACAATGAGCAGAGCATCTCGAGTACCGGCGGCCAGGCCGATGACAAGAAGCATGACGGCACCCGCCCTCAGGCGCTCCACAAGGCTTAGCGGGGTGCATGCAGGTAAACCCACAACAACTTTTGATGCCAAGAATAAAACACCCGCTAACTCGTCATTGACGTACTATATTACAACTGGTCATAGTTCGCGACCATACGACTGCGCCGCAGCAGCTCGCCAGACGAAAAAGAAACAGACGCGTAACAAAAATAAGCAGGCATGTGGAGCATCTACAGCAGTTCAAACACGGAACAACGCGCGCAGATTGCACTGGAACGCAGAATACAAGGAAACCTAATTCTTTCGGTCGTTCATTATCTCCCGATCCCCACAGTGCACCTGACAATGTTTCCGCCCGAGAGACGGAATTAATCCTAAAGGAGAAGGAATTCCGGTTGAAATCACGGAAACTCGAACAGCAACTTGCGACTGTATCTCAGAAGGAAAGAGAAGTCGCCAAGTTGCTCGAAGAATTCAAAGAACGGCTGGTGAGAACCACCATAAGGCAGCTCGAAGACTATTTTACGTGCCCGCTGTAAGTGCCATCAAAAAAAAACTGAAACTTTGTGAGATGAACTTAATTAATTATGTCTTCTTCGAACAGGTGTTTTGAGATCATGTGAGTCGTTTATCTGTTCCAAATGGACAATACTACATTGGTGGTATAGGGCGTGCCCGTATAGTTTGAACCCACGACAGTGCGGACATACCTTCTGCGCCACTTGCATTCTGAAATGGTTCTTTTCCCGATTACATCGTGTGTGTGGCAGCTGGCATGAACCCGTGGACTGTCCCATGTGTAGGAGTGCACTATTTTACACTCCCGATAACGTTCCGCGTCCAGAATCCTCGTTCCCTTTCACACCGAACAGAGTAGCTGATAACGCAATTCGCGGCATGATCAACACTCTCGCGAAGGAGGTTGACTCTGGAAATGTCTCTGCATCTAGCCCGCTTGCTGACTGGGGAGATGATGGTCACGCAAGAAGAGAATGGTATCGAAAAGAAAGGTAATTTTACTCCTCAAGTATTCATAATTTTTTCCTGAAATGCACCGTCTTAATTAGAGTTGGACGTCATGAGATGACATCCCTCGCTACGTCGTGGACAAACATGCATGGGGACGAATTCGTCACTATCAAAAGCAGACTTGAAGTATGACATTCATGGAAAACGTGTTTACACGGGTAAGGTTTACAATAAGACAGACCGATGTGGCTCTCCCCAGGAATGGAGCGAATGTTTAAAGTATGGAACGCATTGTCCACTTATATCAAATCACACTTATCATAATTCACAGATTCACTGAGACATCATTGTCGACTTTGATTTTTTTTTTGGTAAATCGATAATTTGGAAATGTACAACTACCGCGGTGCATGTATTGGAGTTTTCGAGTAGTGGGACCTATCACGGTGACTCATCCAGCGGCTGCATTCATGATACTACAGATAGAAACAACGCTCTCTCAACCCGCGCATACCTAGAACATCCTGAATGACAATATGAGACAAATTCGAGCTGTGGCGAGTTAGCACGTACCCAATCCGCAGATGTTAACCAGATATCAGCGACGGAATCCATTTTGCCAAGAACAGCGGCACCCTTCCAAGCCAGTACGCGAGGGTCGACCTCTTTTGGAGGGGGGATAATCTGTACCTTGTCCATGCTGGGGACCAATGGAGTGGCGATTGCCTGCAGCCTTTTTCCAATGGTTCAATATATCTGAAGTGTGAATATATTCCGTGACTTACCTGCTCTCCAATGCATGAGCCATTCCAGGTATCAAAGCGCTTCCCCCAATGACTAGAACAGCCTGGAGGTGCTTGCGAATTTTATCATCACCCCCGGATGCCCGAGCACTGTTGAAGATAGCAACATCTAGAGGAAGTTTACTTGCTTCAAAACAGACATCGATGCCAAGGCCACCGTAATTCGAGGTCACTGGTACAGAAGACCGAGAAGGTTGAGGCTGAGGAGGAACAGGGACAGGAGATGGTTTAACGTCGCCCTCTACATCAATTACTTCCATCGGAACATCAACAGGAACTCCCCCCGATGCTCCTACAGTGGGTTGTGCAAGAGATTCTACAGCCGGAGGTGGTGTTGCATGCGCAGTTGATGGCAGTGATACCTCTTGCTGTTCTTGTTTTCCGCCATTCTCTGTAACCGCAGTTGTCTCTGCCTTAGTCTTTGAATACAGTCATGACATGACGGCTTTACGTACCGTCCTGCGACTGACTGATGGGAATCGGAGAATGGCGAACATCCGTCGGCACAGTAGAAGGCGGTGGAAGTAGATGTTGTGTTGAGATGATCATCGCTTGAGTCTTACGGCATGACGTAAATAAACCCTATCCATGCTGGATACGAACAGGAATACGTACGACATGGTCCACCGGATGTTCTATGATTTCTTCAGTGACATCCGGATGGGGTATGGAGCGCAGACCAATATGCTTCCTGTCGAACTCTATTACACGGGGCTCAAATATGCACTATGTAAGTATCGAAGGTGCCAGCTGGCAGTTAGATTGATGAAAACCTGTTGTCAGCGAAACGCACCATGGGCGCAAGTATGATCTCGTCATATGCTCGTAAACCATATTTTTCCGTGGGTTTACCGGGCTTGCGCACTACAAAGTCATACAGGTTGAGGGCAACATCACCCTGCAACACACTGAGCAGTGACAAAGACATGACATGCGATGACTCACTTCCGCCAGTGTGCATAGCCGTGCTTTCAAATCCTCCATGACGGCCCAGTCATACCATCGCGCGAGATTAATATCGCGATAGGGAAAACTTATTCGTTCCAAGAGGACATACAAGAACTCAGTAATATCGTCTCCGCCCATATTGAGTGTGATTCTGACCGATAATCAGCGGTAAACTCTGCAACAAATGTATACCTTACCTCGAATCAGGAATAACAAGACCTTCATCCACACATGCTATGCTGGAGTTGACAGCACCGATGTCGACAACACACGCACTACTGATTCCGGCACCGTAGGTTGCCGCCAATGACTCCTGCTTCATGTCAGATCTCGTTGATATCAATGTACGCATCACAAACCTGCTGCACGCAGATTTGCTTGAAGCCTAATGAAACTAAAAGAACGTTGACGAATTCGCGGACGTATGCCCGATCGTAGAAGTCTGGGATAACAAGAACGACAGAATAGTCCTAGTGGTGTTGATTGACACCAATTATACGAGGAATAAAATATGGCGAACCTTGTAATCAGACCGTCTTACGTTCAACCTCTCATTCAGTACAGTGCTGATAATAGTTTCAATGTCATCTAGTATCATTTGGTGTGACGGATAATCCCTGGTGTTGAAGTTCTTTCCATGGATCGGCCACTTCACTGAATAATTCAATAGTTGAGGATCAGACAACCGGAGTGCCTAATACGAAAAAAAATTGAGAGAACAACACGTATAGTTAAGGTATGATACATACTCGTTCGCCGACTAGAACTTCTGAGTCTTCCAGGGGGTCCTGAATCCAGTCGACAAGGAACGGGTCATTAACTTCGGGGATGATTTCAGGTTTGAATTGCTCGTTAAAGGTCGATGCGACCCTTGCAGCGTTGCATGTAACACGAAGTTTGTAGAACCTCATCCGCTCACGAAGAGAAACAATGATTGACCCCATTTTGGCATCAAACTATATGAGCACTTTAGCACACTATGCGGCGTGGTGAAGGAAGAAATGCATATACAGGATCATCTGAAGCGATATCGACCGCATATTCATCTCCGTCGGGACTCGCAGACACGGATAGCTGTGGCACTTGCCCTTTTCTCGGACGGGAAATACCCTCGACGTATGTCGGAACTGGTACCGGTGGCTTGTGTCTACGCGCAATAACATTTGGAATGGACAGAGGTGTGACATCCGACGCCCTGCCGATTCTTAGAAAACGCGAGCCAGGGTGGATAACAATAACGTGCGAGCCACGCCTATTCTGAACAGCTCAGCATTACCATATGAAAGACCAGTCCAATCATGCAAATTGCCTACCTCTGTTCTGGTGAAGGAGCAGTTTCCTCTGCCATCAATTCTTTCTTTCGTGCTGCATTACGCGACCAAATGGTTTGGGTTTCCGATTTCAAGTAAGAAGTGCCCACATGCTTAGGGTTTGGCCTGACACGATTGTCAACACTCGAAATACAGTCATGGTGTCAACGTACGCCAGGGGCACATGCATGGATGTGTAACGCATACCAGAGTCATCTTTCTTCGCGTTGGGTATTCCCCTTGGCATATGGTGCTGTGTTTAGTTTGTGCAGGCGAAAAGAAGTGCAAGTAGTATGGGATAAGTGATGGATATAGTCCTTCTGAAATGATCACGTATGGATCGGCTTCTGCCGGCGGTTGGATCTCTCGAGGGCCCAACATTTGGTAATAGAGGGCAAACATGCAGATGGCTATTGTATAGGTACAGAAATGCAGAACATGTGGATATCTATATGAGATCGACGAGACAACAGACACCGACTACCAAAATGCACACCTATGAAATATAATTGAGCTTAACACAATCAGGACAACAAAGTCATCTCACCATCCTGAAAAGCATTGACAAAGGTTCTCAAGTGAGGTGGCCTGCAAAATAAGTTTATCCACTTGAGCAGTAACGGGAAGGACGATGTCAGGGTTGAAGTCACGCCCTGTCGATGGAGAAAAATCATCAGTAACACAAAGGTGTAAACACACGGGAAAGGATAGACCTGTGAGCTTGTGCTGGACACGGTTGTAGACAAGTAATGCCCGCTCGTTCCGGACCTCTTGCCTCGCTCCAGGTCCCCCGACGACCTCTGCAAAGAAATTAGTTTCTCCCTTCGGGGCGTACATTACATGCCTACCGTTGAAAATATCGTTTTCATCCGCGCGCAGCTTGCGAGTTGGACCTTGAGGATATCCCGATACTTTAGCAAGTTCAGCAGCACGAGCAGGATCGGTTTCCCCATCTGCTATTCACGTGAGCCAGTCGAATAATAATAATAAAGTCAGGCACACCTTCTGGTCGGCGTAAATCGACGTCGGCTTGCATGAGCCGCCAGTTGATCAGGGGGTCATAAACGAATGCCTCCAGGACTGCCATCAGGGACTCCTTGTTCGCGCGCAGTACGGTCATAGTAATTTCGCAGGTATGCCGGAAACTTCCTTCAATGCCGCTTATCTGCAACGTTAGTGAGCTTAAGAATGCCTACGGTCCATTACACAAATTACCTCCATAGCATGCGTGAGCATACGAGTAAGTCTGAACGGAATCTTTTCGGGGAACTTCTCGCGATGCATAGCAACTTCAAAACAGTCACCGAAGTCGATATGGACAACTTTGCCGGTCGTGCGTTCCAGTAAAAGATTAGACGGGTGGCGATCCCCAAGACCCAGAATATGGCCAACCATGCTGTTCACTGCCAGAGAGCGGGTATAGGTCGCACGGCGCTCCAGCCAGTGCTCTGAATTTGCGCTCTTCAGCCATAGGACGCGATAAAGATCCTGACCGGTGGTATTCTCTAAGGCATATTCAAATACCTCAACCTTTTGTAGTAGCGTTAGATTCTCGTAGTCCGGTGCCATCTGGGATATATCAGCAGATGAGACATGCCCTTTGAATAGTAATGAATACCTGAAGCATTAGTCGATACTCTATGTTCAAAAGAACTTTGCGAGAGTCTCGATAGTCACGAACAAGGACATGCAAAGTATCGCTGTCCTTGACCCAGCCTATGAGACCGGCGTTGGGTGCCAATGGAATGACAGAGTAACGTTGAATGTGTAAGCGTCGCTTGAAGCTATTGGTGTCAACAGACAGAAGGGTATTGACGAGGCTAAACAACTGCATAACACGCTCGTCCTGACGCAAGTCTTCGTGCCCTGTATATAAAGGAATAAGCGATGTCGCAGTGCTGGGGTAACCGTTCTGTTACCTTTCAAAACATATTGGTAGTCCTGGCCATCACTGCCCTTCAGGGATAGTCGCCGTGGCCGCTGCTTGGAAGCTATAACAGTGAGCTTGGTAGTGAATGACGCAATGCGAACGACGTCTCGACCACTCTGATATGTTCCTTAAGTCGGCTAATGAGTACAACACGGTACCAAAGTAAAATCAAAGGTACATACCGGGCATCGCCAGATCAAGATCGCGGGCTTTTAGCAGTTGCGGTGACACATATTGCAGGTCCAATGTCGTCAATTGAGGTAACTGCTTCTCCACTTTTCTAAAGACCTGAAAGGACACGAAAGATAAACAAACAGAGTTGATCATCTACTTCCCTAAGTCTTACCCCATAGTAGATGTCCCAAGCCTTGTTCAGCTCTGACATCTCACCGAATGCACGGTACCGCCGACAAGCCTCCCGAGCTTCATGCAAGTCGCGACCAAATGTCTGCGCGAATGATGTCTCCCTAGCTGTTGTTGGCCCCTAGTGCGTGAAGCCTGAGCAATTTTTCTGATCAACTTCGATTGAGTGC